GCCCTAGAAGAGAGAGGATATCAACTTGAACGAAGCGACGCATTGACGATCGTGAAATTGTTCGCTAAAAACGGATTGTTAGAGATGTCGTCGGATCTTGACCAGTCTTGGCTTAATGACAAGGAGTACGAGAAAAGAGCAAAAAAACTAAAGATACTAATTTCGCACCTGACGATCTACGACTTTATGCAGTTACGACTCGATGAAGCGGCTAGAGTACTCACATATGCGCGCTACAAGTTCACGCTACGTACATTAGACTATTTACCCGCGAATGTCATCGACGCTGCTCATAAAAAGTTGGGCACGATACTGTTGAGAAGATTTTTACGGCCTTGGGCATTGGAATTTTTCATGGAGCTGACGCAGTGCCGGTTGCCGATTCTCTGCTGTGAAATGATCATCGACGAATCATTAACGAACAAAGATTTAGTCAATATTTGCTTAGCGGCTACAGTCCAAAGTCATAAGGAGACTGAAGATAATGAAGTAAAATTTATAACAAAATGTAATAACAAAAGACAAAAATGCTAAAAAAGAAGATTCCAAAAAAGCTACAAGATTTTGTCTAGCGAAGACTATAATGATTTTTTTTTCAGTCTCATGATGAAATTAATGACACGAGTAAAATAAATACCGATCAATCTTATATTATTTGATATTGTCTATAGTCCACATTAATTTTAAATAAATAAATTATAAAAATGAATTTTAATTATTTTTATTGACGAACAAACAATCATTTGAAATGTGAGATCTCAAATCGTACAATCATTACTTCCATGCCTCATATAGAGACCAAAATTATTTATTATTTTGCGGCTTAACGCAAAAGCCCAATATGACGATAGGAATATTTTTGCGGTATTTATAATATATTTTGAATTGATAATAGTACTCAAAATATATAGGATAAAACAATCAGGAGTTTTGCTAATTTTGAAAGGAATTTAGGACAAATGTTTTCGTTTGACTTGAATTTTTGAATGGGTTTCGGTAAAAAGTTATTGTTCCTATCGATCAATTCGAAAGGAAAATAATATATCAATGGTCTATGAAATGAAAATCGCCCTGTGTTATTCCATATGTTTACATAACAGAATTGCTTATGGCGCGGAAAGCAGCTCTCTCGTAGTAATAGTCATATTTAAGTCCAGTCAGACTGTACACGTCTAACTTAAATCTTGTTCGGTGGTTGTCTGAAATAGAAGTAAAATTACTTTTTTTTTTCTTTAATTTAATGTGATTTAAAAAATGTCAAACAACATGACAAGCATACAAAAAATGAAAAGGTTGAGAGAGTCAACAAAGTGGGAGTGTGAACAAAAAAAACAAGAATTTTTTGTACAGAGTTGTGACCTCATCCAAAAGTGGGAAGGTCAACTTCCAGATCTATCAAAAATTTTATCGCCAGAAGAAATCGATTGGCTCATACTTCAGGATTGTTTAAAAAACCACAAAACCGATACGAGATTCGTCGACTTTGCAATAAGAAGCGGCTACAAGGATACAATTAGGCGGAGAAAAAATGACAAGGGATTGTTATATCGTACAACAGCGATACACAAGTTATTTGATATTGGCAAGTACAACCACGAAATTTTGGCAAAACTTTATCGTGTTTATCAAAATTTTGATATCACTTACATTGATGAAAATGAAAATACACATTTTCACATAGCCTGCGCACTAGGCTACAAAGATATTGTAACCAAATATTTAGAAATCGGACGCAGTCCGAATTGTTCGAGAAATAATTATTGCGATGACTCCCCACTACATTTGGCATTGAAAACAACAAACGAAGAACTTATATTGTTGTTGCTTAAACACGAAGCCGATCCGAATTCCATCAACAAGCGTGGTCAAACTATAATTCATGAGATTTGTGATAGCTGTGGACCTTTTCGAGAAAATGATCGGTGTAATTTATTAGAAAAAATATTTCAAATGTGCAAAGAAAAACAACTACCGATTAACATCGATATAGAAAACTGGCGTAAACAAACACCTTTACGTTTATCCACAATGAACTTAAAACCCCTCACAACGAAAAAGCTCCTGGACTGCGGGGCCAAAATTTCCGGGGTCGTTATTCCCACAGCTGGCCACTTAGAATTATGCAAATGGCCAAAAGACAACAGGACCAAATTGCAGTTGGCATCTGCAGCTTTATCAATTCTTGAACATCTCGAAGAAAAGGGAATAGACCCCCAGATAATTGACATACTGGCTATCATGAAATACATGGACGATTTAAAAGTGTTACTTAGCCAACGTCATCTACGGGCGACTATGAAATATGAACTTTATGCCGACCACATAAAAAATTTAATAATATTGCCCAAAGTTCGATGTGAAATTATAGATCATAAAGGAATAGAAGAAACACAATATTCACCAAAACTATCATTATACGATTATTTAAATTTTGTTGACATAAAGGTGGCCAAAAAGATGTTTAGTTATAACGACTATTATTGGCTGTTTGATCCGAAGCACCTTATGTTCAAAACAAGCAGAGCTTAGCAACGCTATGCCCATGAGCATCTGTGCGAAGTAATGGCAAAGCCATTTTTTATTTCTTGGGCGATTAAAGCTTTTATGGAACTGACGAAGTATCAACTGCCTCAAGAATGTTGTGAAATGATTATCGATGAAACACTAAGTAATAAAAATTGTTACATCATTTGCCGCCTAGCGTGGACTGATTCTACTAGTTCTACTTCTCCGCCAAAAAGCAGTGCTAAAACGACTCAAAAATAGTTCAAGAAGTTTGAATGAACCCAGTATAACAGGCGAATAAAAAAAAACCCACTACAAGAGTAATGCAGCAATACTCGAATCAAAAAGCCAGCTGCAGAAAACTAAATATATATGATAGTGTGTGTCAAATAAAAATAAACTGTAATTTGCGTCAATTAATAATTTAAAGCTGAAATAATCGATTTGTAACGAACTGCGATAAATTCATTTTATATATAAATTTTTGTATTATGCTATTCAAAGTAGCATATTGTCCATGTCCATTAAATGTCCATTGAAACTTCTAATAAATGGATTTCGTAAATAAGTCTAGATTTTTTTTATCAATTAAACATACACTTACACACCATACTTTCTTTGAAAACTTCGTGGAATATTATTTTGTGCTCGAGTAATGTTGAATTATTTTCAAATTTTCTTTCACGCTTGTTACACGTGAAATCTTCGCGATCTTTGTGTACCAATTTTTGATGGCAAATTACTTATTTGTATAAAACTCATGTAAAATACATTTTTTTATTATAATTTGCTTTGCTATTAACTCTTTAAAAATCTCTTTATCGCTTTTTTCTCGAAATCAAAAATATGCGCAATTGAATCCGATCTCATGTCAGAGGATGATCAAGTTTTTATGAATAATTTAATGATCATATATGGATGTGAATCACGGTTCAGTCTCGACCCTTAATCGCGCTCAGTGTTGGTGACGACATGAGCTCAGCAGAATTTCTCATTTCTTTTTCAGAATTCTAGCGTGAAACATATTCAAACGTTTTTCCGTGTACATTTTGTTTACATTATTTGAATCACTTTAAAATTCAAACTTGGCTACGATTTTTTCGGCCTTCTAAAACTAAGTTCTTAAAAATAGTTCCCGTAACGTAGAGTCATATATTATAAAAAATTTCAATATTTATTCCAAAATTTGCTGCCCCTACATCGTAGCCACTGTGTGTTACTGCGAACAAATGAGAAATGTAGCTATATCATAAAAATATCCTCGCTACCATCCAGTACCATATGAAAAGTATCGACCTACATTATTTAGAAGTACCAAATAATAAGTACCAAATTCTGCAGTGACCTGATACAACATCAACACAAGATCTCTGGCGATGCATTTTGAAATTGCTTTGATTTAATTATCGACGTCCTCGTTAGTGAAATGAGTATCGAATAAACTCACTTACACATATCATGCGAAATTCATCAGTTGCTCTCTCTCTCTCTCTCTCTCTCTCTCTCTCTCTCGCCCACATACGGAAGCGCGCGACTTTCCTCGCGCTTTCTATAGTCAAATATAAAAGAACTACGAGACGTTGCTTTATAACTTTGCACGAGCGCGCGAGCATAACGTAAAATTACATTTTTATCGATTTTCGCTCGCATTGTGCGCGGTCGCGTAACGATTTCCATTGTGTGCGGAATGCATATAGGCGCGCGCGCGGCGTGCACTTGGCAATGGCTTTAGCGATACTTAATTATTTATATCGTTATATTCGTCGTGTTGTGTGTTGTGTCGCATGATATATACATATGCATCGCCGCGGGGAGCTGAACCCCCAAAAATATACAAATCGATGCCGCAGCCTAGGTATATTTCACCTTGTTATTTGCTTTACATTATAGGGTTGATTTTTCGATCGAGGCGCGATAAGCGGTGGTGCCTTTTTCTTGTTTCGATCGCGATCGGATGCTGCGCAGGTATTCGAGCGCTAAAGTCTCAGATTCATCCGAAAATTCGATACTGTATGCAATTTTCCTCACTCAAACAATCCGAATCCATCACTGAATCGCTCAGCTGCTAGACCGAAATCTTCGAATAAGAAACCGATCGAACGATTGCCACCCTGTTACATACGTCGGGTATGCGTCTGTGTGTGTGCATAATATACAGCAGGTGTCGAGCGAGGGGTAGGCCAGTAAGTCAGTAGGTAGTGTGTATATTGCACGAACTGCACCCCGCTACCTTCGCTCTTCGCCTCGAGGTATTACATATCAGGTGTGTATACACATGCGCAGCCCGCGGGGGAGGCCAAGGAACCGAGAGAGAACCTCGCGCCGTCTCTCTCTCTCTCTTTCTCTACTCTATACAGGCACACATATTATATACACAAACGATAGGCTCGAGCCTTATAAGCCTCGAGGCGGTATAGAGAGCTTGGCGCCTTCGCGACCAGCCAGCTCGTAGCCAGTTTACTCCCGATAATATGCATGTGCAGGCAGCAGGCAAACTGCAGCAGCAGCAGCGGTGCAATGAGAGAAGACGTCGTAGCGCTTCGTCGTCGTACTACTACCTCCGCCACCAGCGAGTGTTTTGTTGTTGACGCGTCTACTTCCGCGTTGCTGTCGATTTTGACGCGGCCGCTGCACGAGGCGGACCTCCGGAGATCGACGTATAAGTGAGTTAACGGGGGCCTCTGCGAGAAATTTTGGCTGCTGCCGCTGCCGCTGTTGTTGTTGTTGGAAACGTCGATAAGGGTGTAAATAAAGCACTGCGACAATGCTATGGCCAACGACGACGACTACGCAGTCTACAATTGGAGAGATCATTCGGCATCAAGGGGGTGAGGCGCAGCTGTCTTGAGACAAAATTACTTACATACCCCCTCCCCTTGCACCTTTCACCTTCGTACACAACATTTTCTCTGACTTTTCACGCACGCACACACGGCGCTTATTGTACTGCGTAACACAATAGTTTCGAGCGCGTTGCGAGCTGCGATTTGAAAAAAATCACGCTTCAGCGCGATGATACGCGGGAAATCGTGTACGACTCATTGATGAAAAGTATACAATAGTTTTCAAAGAGTCGATATTTGCTTGCGGTAACAACCGATGGCAATTGAAAAAAAAAATTACAATTGATAAACGGATATAAACCTGCGCCGCGTTATATTTCCGTGGGGAATGAATTGCGTGTAAACGTTAAATTTGTGAAAAAAGAAACGATCCTGATTTTATTTCGAGAGGCAAAATATTTGGGAGAGAAGTATAAAAGGAGCGAAGAATTTAGATGTCGATTGGTGGCGAGATGTTAATAGCCCAACAGTGTTTTGTCGAATTAGCATAAATCGATAGACGTTTATTAAATGCGGTACACACAGTGAAAACGATCGGTCACTGTACACCGCTCGAGCTGATTACTCTTTTGTTGTTCTATTTAAACTGGCTATAATCACAGCGCAGGAATCCCGCGTATGAGTCGCATAGATAAATATGAATTTAATTGTTATTCGAAAGTGTTAAAAATTGTTAATTGTTTTTCGCTTGTGTAAAAGTATAGCTTTTCTCTCTTAAGGGACTTGCATTTCAGAAAATTTGTTCATAAATGTTTATCTGTTTTTCGACTGTATGAAAATTTTGCATGAAATTTGAGATTTCGTTTTTTTTGCAAGTTACATTCTCCATAATTCTTGTTCATTTATCATTTACTATAAGATACTGCAACTTTAAATTAAAGAAACTGCTCGAAGTAAATAGTTTTCTCATAAAATTACTGAATCTAGCATCTTATTTATTTATATCAGTAAAAACATTATCGAAAATTTCCAAAAATGTTTATCTAATGATAAAATCGATCTCATTAATTATTAAAAATAAAATTATAAATTATCTTTGAAAGCCAAAAAACATGGAGATGCCGGGGATCGAACCCGGGACCTTTCACATGCAAAGCGAACGCTCTACCACTGAGCTACATCCCCAAGATACTGAGAGGTGTTCCAAATGAAGTCTAATAATTTTAATGGCTTTCTCAAGTGTTAAATACAGATATCAAAAGATGTTAGAAAAATTTTTTCCTTCAATTTTTTTCGAATCTACTGTAATATGCGCGCACAGTATACGCGCGATTCATGTATATTTAATGGGATATAAAAAACGGATACCTCAGATTAAAACTGTTATTTAGGTTACATCAACAACTTTACTTTCTGCAGATATAGAATTATCTCGAAAAAATTCTTTTTATCGAAAAGTGTATTGAAAAATTGGTTTATTCATAATCTGCTATGATTAGGATTTTGTATTATTCGCTTAGAAGCAACATAGTCACTGTACAAGCAAGAATTATTTAGCTCTGCGTTCGTCTCTTACCATCGTCAATTTTACTAATTAATCTTCGTCACGTAGATTGGATTCGTGTATGAAGAATGGATGAAATGTAGGTCTTGCAGCGTCATGGTTTATAAGAGCCCATGAAAAAATCCATACTCAAATAAATATTCAAAACATTTTCAATTACAAATAGTTGAAAAATTGAAGCGAAACGGAGGTTTTTCATTTACTCCAAACTACTTCTGATATAATAAAATTTTTAATTCTTTCAAAATTTCCTCAGACTGAGAAAGTCTATTTTTCGAGAATATAAAAAATATCTTACTCTCGCTTGAAGCCACTATATCATATACATCCAGATACGCAGCAACAAGTTTGTTCAATTGTTTCAAGCACGTATGTTAAAATAGACCGTAGTTTTGATTTCAGGCATTGATTCATTATCATCTGACGTTTATGGCACATTTGTTTTGGCATTTACGAGTAATCGATCAAGGCGCTTTTACAGCTCGTTTTAATAATCATGAAAATTTGATGCACTCGCACCCATTATCCACCTAGATTCTCGATTTGAAAGATTTTTCATAATAAGCGACTGCGATCAGGGCTAAATGCTGATTGCCGGCCCCGAAGCTTTTTGAAAAATTGAAGTCAGAGGCGTGGGGATCCTTTGACGTTCGCCACACCTCGAGATAGCCAGTTTTAATCAATGAATCTTATTTGGGAGCGGTTTCAAATCAGAATAATGAAACGCCTCTGAAAATTTCTTCAAAGTAACCCGAATCTTTCGATTAATTCGAAATGAATCATTTTTTCGAATCGTACGCAAACAACGCGGCAAATCTTGGTACAAAAATTCTGTCTTTGTGCACACGGTATATACGGTCGTAGCGTACGTGTGTAAGCTCGCAGAAGTGTTGACTCGCGTGCAAGAACACGTATACACGTATATATATACGAGAGCTGCATGCGAAATGCCTCTCAGATTGAATCGGCGCGTGTGCGAGTCGAGGGGTCTACTGACCCCACCTCCTTGTGGAGTAGTCGTCCTTTGGCCATACGTAACCAGGTGCGACCGAGCCATTTATTTTATCGCGATGTTGCAAGGAGTACGTGTAGTAGGGTTGGTTGGTTGGTTGGTGGTGGTACGTGGCCATGCAAATCTACCTCGTTAAATCGGGTCAGCGGGTCGATGGTCAGCTTATTCTTATATACACACTTATGAGGGAAGAAATATAAATTTTTTTGTAAGGATACTCGTAGGCGCAGCTATTTTTAGTTTAATAATATTGTAACGAATCAAAAGAAACCCTGGAAATCGTTATTATATCGGCACAAATGAACGAAGCTGTGAAAATGTATCGTATGTAAGCTTTGCAATCGATGATAGTTGTTGAATGCCACGAATGATAAGTAATAACGATACGTCGTGCGACACGCTGCTAGTTGATCGGGAATAATCGATGAGTTTCATAAGCACGCGATTATACACATGAAACAATTTTACGATTACATTATTGCATAGAGAATGTTTAAAGTACAGTGTAAAGCCTAACTTATAGTCCGTATGAGATAATAGGCCGGTTATGCGAACGTAATCGTCAAAAGCCTAGGTATATTTTTATCTTATGTCAAGTTCGAGGAATTACGCAAGTCTCGATTGATCGAGCGGTTTTATGAATAAGAATATCAAATAGATACAAGTTTTACTTTACTCCTACCGACACTTTTAAAGCTCGGAATTTTATCTTTCAAATCAGTTTGTCGTTTGACAAAATGTTAAAAAAGGAGCAATCGTGCGTAACTCGAGCGTTCTTTCGTTGGTGCCCAAAGCAAAAGGTTCTCAATGTTGAAAACTGCAAAACAATTGGCAGCGGTGGGATTCGAACCCACGCCTCCGAAGAGACTGGTGCCTTAAACCAGCGCCTTAGACCGCTCGGCCACGCTACCTCGTTGACGGTGGAGGCCCACGATGACCACAAAGCACCGTGGATTTATTTATTTATTTAAAATACATTTCTCGCTCTACCGATGCAGTTATATGTACGCGCTCACTGAGAACCAGTTTTTTTGCCTATATTTGAGATGGCGAGGCTTCGACGAACGATTTTTTCTTTTTTTTTTTTTTTGACAAAAGTTATCAATGAGACCGTCTTTGTTTGAAAATAAAAATGATTAAAAATCCACCATCGCGATTAAATCTACTGCAAAGAGGCATAAACCATTTATATACGAGCACTGCACAGAGAGAAGTTTTTTTTTCTCCTGAAGATCGCGTGGGGGCACACTTTCGTGATCGCATTTTCGTCTCTCCAAAAAAAAACGATCGTAACATAACGTTCGAGCGAACGACGAACGTATACAAGTCTTTCTTTCAGTCCTATTCGTGTATCTTTTTACTATTATGGACTTTTTTGTCAAACACGTGCGGCATCACGTAAACGTCTCCGAGCGAGTTTCAAACCCATTCCTACATATTTATTATAACTTCGAGCTATATTCGTTGGATAAACTTTTTTGATCATTTTTAAGTATCACTGTACTTCGATAATTGCACATGGATGTATTGTATTTTTACAAATTACGTTTTACGATAGATTTTGAAGAAAAAAAAAACAAAATATTATCAGGGATCTTGAATCTAGCTTGGATCAATTTTTTTCCAGCCAGACATTCTACGGCACTCGCAACGTATACACATAAAAATATAATAGTACTTTCTCTAATCATTACCTCTCGCAATTCTTATGGTATATATCGTCGTGCAGCAGCAAAAAAAAAACCAGTCATGTCGAGTTTATGCGAGGTTTGCACGCATCATCGTATACATATATAGCAGCAGCACCCGCGCGAGCGCAAACACTGCATGTGCATTACGAAGCTTGTTGTGTACTCATATGCCTACAGCCTAAACTCGCGCGAAACAAGTGCATAGAGCGGGTGGGTGCAGCGCTGTTGTTGCGCGCGATCGGATGCGATCTGTGACTTTTTTTCAGTTCGCGAACGGTCACTCGTCTAGGTGCACCGCACATTTGTGGATAAGCTCCGAAAGCTCATACCTGCATATCGAATTTAAATTGTGCGCCATACGCATTGAACTCCGCGGAAAGCTAACTTCGAACGAAGCAAAATTTATAAGTTATGATCAGTACATAAAAAAAAAAAAAATGAAGTAAAAGTTAGGATAAAACACTCTGGCTCTGAGCGTGCGATAACGAAAGAAAACACAGGTCGGCAGCGGCGGACAGAGCGACGCGAAATCTTCGCCTGCGGGGCGGCGGCGGACTACAGAGAAATCGACGAGCCTCATCGGACGGCGAGCTAGCCCAACAGCAAGAGAATCATCATCAGCAGCAGCAGAGAGGCGGCCGAGAAGTATGCCTGTTTCACGAGGGCCTCGACGTCGATCAGTTGGCGCGCTATCGGCGCAGGCAGACCAAGCCGGTCACCAAGGACCATCTGGGCTACGCGGCGGAAAGAGAGCAACGCGGACGACGACGACGACAACAGCAACAGCGATCGAATTCCGACGAGGACGAGGACGAAAACGACAAGCGTCGATTGGTCACCGAGTACAGATTGAGATTTCACGCCGCCGACAGCATCGAGAATCTCTTCGAGAATGAGGTAAATTTTTTTTTTATTTCGGGTAGCTCTTCGATAGTTGGGGGGACGAGCAACGTGAAAAGTATCGTGAAAAACTTTACCTGTGATATGGTCGTTTATCCTGCGGTAACTTCTGCCCAAGCTCTCGGAGAACCAATTATATCACTTCTTTCATATAACTAAATATTGTGTTATAAATCACTTGCCGCGTGATCTTGAAAAGAGTTTTTCATCAATATTTATCTATGAGGTGTCAAAATCTTCAGAAAAGTGCCCTCATCCACTTGAGCGGAGCAGAGTTTCGGAAAAATTTCGTATACACGTCAAAATGTGACAATTTTTGAGAAAATCAATATTTTATTACCACTAAATCCCTTATTTAAGCTCTTGCAAGAGAAGTAAACTTTTTTTTCATATTCTGGATGAGGGAACTTTTCTGAAGATTTTGAGACCCCATAGATCAATATTGATGAAAAACTCTTTTCAAGATCATGCGGCAAGTGATTTATAACACAATATTTAGTTATAATATGTAAGAATTGATCTAATTAGTATGTCAGAGCTTGGGTAGAAGTTTTTTTTATCAATCAGGTGTAGAATGAACATATTTTACTATCAAAAAAAAAATGTCCACTATTTCGATTTATATAGCTATTTTTTAATTTAAACTTTTAACAGATGTCGGTCCCCTTAATATTTTAATGAAGGGTAAAATAAAATAGTTACATTTTAGTTTTGCTCAGCGGGAGTAAAATGTTACTTTAGGTTGGGGTAGCACCAAAAATATTTTTCTATAAACGTAGGTGCACGTCCACAGCAAACTATAAAATGGAGACCTACACGAAGCTTTTAAAAGAATATTTAGTGGGAACGTCGAAAAAAGGATTCGAAAATAATAATTTTAGCCTGGCTTCGAGCTCTCCTTAATTTGAATAATTTTGATGATTTATTTTATTCGCGAATGGGGGTAATTTTTATAAACTGCAAATCAAGTCTTGAAACTATTTTTATTATAGTTCCGATACACGTTATGAATATTATATCGATATCCTCGACTGTTGTTCGGGTTGCATGACACGCGAATCTTACTGTCATTGAAATTCAATACACATTCAAGGCAGAAAAAAAATGATACAATACGAGAAGACCCGAGCAATCTTTAAATATACATTTTTTACTCTAAATTTCTTTTCAGTTTGCGAAAAAAAAAACATTTCAATTTTTTAGGATGTACAGCTGACACCCGAGACAGCGCAACTGCCCGACCAAACCGATCAATTTGAACAAAAAAACCCAGATGCAATTAGCGAAACAAACTCACGAGCTTCCATTAGTAATCCCATGCCCGATTTCAACGATGAAACACAAATTGATTTTCCTAAAGTTACAAATGAAAAACAACCGATCGAACGAGTCGTCGACGAGATCAAACAAACGGAAACGACGATCATGACCAGACCGGCGCTCATACGAAGGTAACTTTTTTTTCTCTCTCTGCACAAAGGACTACGACCCGCGTGAAATATAAAAATTCCTATACGAGCTCGCGATGCTGTGTGTATGTGCAGAGGCACGACTCTGCGCAACGAGGGCGACTTCACCGGCACGACCGAGTACTCGCGTTTCGTGCCGCACTTGGGCTTCCATCGTGCGGAGCTGCGCCGTCGGGGCACGTCGCTGCGCATGGAGGGCGACTTCCAGCGCGAGAGGAGCCAGAAGGTCGGCGACTGGCCCGCCACGTCGCGGGACTGGTTCGCCGCCGCCGCCGGCTGCCGACCGGCGCCCGTCAGGATACCTTCGAATCTGCGCCTCGAGGGCGACATGCAGACGACCACGGAGAGCCACGATCAGTATGTGCCCTTTATCGGCGTCAAGAGGCCGGAACTGCTGCGCCAGGCGGCGCAGCTCGGACTCGAGGGCGACAATTGTTGGGCGCCAGAGTACAGCGATGTTTTTAAAAAGCATAATTTTTTAGGTAAACGCAAATCGTCAAAAATGTATACTTGTCGAATTGTAAAGTTGAATTACAAGAAAAAAAAGAATGCACCGAGTGAAAATTTACAATGAATCGAGATCGAGTCGAGTCGTTGATAGAAAATACAAGAACGTAAATGCATTGTTTCTCATTTAATATTGGATATTTTCAAACACTTTAAGTTTCTAATGCGTGATCAATTTAATTGTTGGTAAATAAAAAAAGAAGCAAAAAAATTCAGTGAAAGTGTAGATTTTTAGAAATATAATTGTGTAGTATTTAGATGAGTTCCAATGTCGTACAATAGCTCTAGAAGTTGTATATATCATTTTTTAGTCGACTAACATTTTCGTACTTATTAAAAATTATATTTTATATGTTGTAAAACTGTAGGATTTCAGTAACGTAGCCCCTTCGTAACCTGATTGTGGTAACAAAAGTACGTTTTAAAAAAAAGATAACCATTGAAACAAGCATCGTTTTACTTATCAAATTTCATTTTTTTAAACATTATATACATATAGTTGTACAACACTGCATGAGCAGTCGTATTAGTAAAAAAAAAGTATCTAGCTCTCGCACTTACATATAGCGCATGCTTTTTCAGGTGCAATTTAGATTCATGATTTAATTCTAAAATAAAAGAAAGTGTACAATTTTTAAATGTTTCGATTCGATTGTCGTCGATAAAATATCTTCCCACTGTTTTTCAGATCGCCGATTGACCAAAAAAGCAGAAACTCACCCTAAACCAGATAGTGGCTTCTTTGAAAAAACCGAAGCGACCAATGATTTTTCTAATTCACGAAACAAGGAATTCGAATTGATGGCTAATTTGTCGAGGGACGCGGAAGAAGAGGACGAAGAGTTAAAAAAGCGCGAAGAAGAGCAAACGTTCAAGAATAAGAACGAATACAACTTGAGAAAAGAAGAAGAACTGAAGCTTCTTGTATCAAAACTCGAGGATCTCAATGGAAATTCTCTAGACGTTCCAGAATATCAAGCTGCTTATAAGGTAGGATTAGAATAATTTATTCGGCGGTTGAAAAAGTATCGATTGATAATGAGATCGAGTCCACACATTTGTTACTGCAGAATTTCCCTCGAGAAAGGCCTAAATTAATCAAACCGGCGGACGAAATCGGCCACGCCGACGGGAGTAAAATTTCCACCATGCCAAGCCCTCGGCGCTTCAAGACCAAAATCGATCAAGATCCGGAATACAAATCGATCTTTCTAAATCCCGAATACAAGTCCGGATCGAATTCCGACCTGACGCGGGATCGGGCAATTTTTTACAAACCGCCGCACCCGCTCAGACCGTCGATCTCGTCGAGCCGAGCCAGCCTGAGAATGGACTCCGTCAACAATCGCAGAGGCTCCAGAATGTCGATGGCGCCGATGAGCGAGATTCGATCGCAGTACGTGAATTACGGCCACGTACCCAGGACGGAAAATTTGCGAATACCAACCAGTTTGAAGTGAGTCTATTGCGTTGTAATTATAAAATGTTTCGGTGCTTTGATCGCTTTATGCCATTAAAAACAGAATTTATAATTGATGCTGAGCGCAGCAAAGTCGTACACATTCGATATTGCTAATTTTCGATGTTTTACTCTAAATGCGATAACTCATGCAGGGATAAACCAATCGATCTGAAAATTTTACATAGCATTGTTTCGGTGCTAATGGAGTGCTGTATACTTTTTTCGCGACATCCATATATCCTAATATACAAAAAATGCCTTTTTATGCAATTTTGAGTTTTGCACCTCGCGACATCTCCACTTCGAAAAAACGTAATTTTTGTTTGCGATTGGTCTTACTTGTGTATCGGTATTTAACATTGTACTTATGACAAGTATATTATATGTCGTGTTTTGAGTACCACTATACTGAGCGTAACATGATTGAGATATAGTATAATTATGTCGTGTTTCAGTTAACATTGTACCGATGACAATTATATTATATGTCGTGTTTTGAGTATCACTACTGAGCAAAAATTTATGATATGTTTATTTATTATATGCTAATAAATAAATACATGTTAATTTATGATATGTTAATTTATTTATTTGTCTCGATGTTTCATCATTTTGCGCGGTATTGATAGGTACGTTTTAAGATCTTTTGTATTGATCTCGTGCTTGGGTATTGCCTTCATGCACACTTTTGACGTGTCTGCATAAATATTTTCTATGTTTAAATTTTTTTCACAATTAAACATAAGCGTGATCAATGTCTTCGTGCTGCGCTTTAATGTGAGTTATAAGACGATCCTTTTGAGAAAATGTCTTGCCGCACTCATTACAATAAGTGGTCTTATTATGTATCAAATTCATGTGTCTTTTAAGATTACCCTTTACTGTGAATGTCTTTCCGCACACTTCGCAAGTATGTGCCACACCTTTATGCATCGCATCGATGTGAATCTTGAGAGAAAATTTTTGTGTGAAAGTCTTTGCACATAGACTACACGCATGCTTAACACCATTATGAACTCCATCGATGTGGACCTGGAGATCTCCTTTTTGTGTGAATGTCTTTTCACATTTACCACACGCATGTTTAACACCATAATGTACTCCATCGATGTGAATCTTGAGTGCAGCTCCAGTTAAGAATTTCTTCCCGCATACTTCGCAAGTAGGTGCCATACCATTATGCATCGCATCGATGTGAATTTTTAGATAAAATTTTTGTGGGAAAGACTTTCCACATACACCACACGCGTGTTTAACACCATTATGTACTGAATCGATGTGGACCTTGAGATAATTTTTTCGTGCAAATTTTTTACCGCATATATTACATGGATATTTGGTACGATTGCGTGCCTTATCAGTTTGGGTTTTGCGTTGACTATTTTGAGCAAATGTTTTTTCATTTGCATCAAATGCATCACTGAGTTCACCATCCAAATTCAATTCCTCTTTTACTTCGTCGACAATTTCTTCTTTAATTTTCTTTTGAGTCTGATAATCACAACTATTTTTCATATGCTGCCATTGATCTGGATAATCGTCCTCGATTTTCTTGACTACTAATAAGTTAATGCCGAGCTTCTCGTCCTTACATTCGAATTCTATTTCCAAATCGTTATTAGGTCCAGAATTGTCATCATTTTTACGAAGCCCATAAATCTGGAAATGAGATTAGTAAAAATACTTGATCAAAATATTGACTAAACAGTCACACATCAACACTTACTAAATTTTCTCGACAAAAACTCGAGAATTCGTCGTTTTTAGCATCGCATGCATTGTCAATTATCTTATGATCTTCATTTTTAATTGGGGAAACATCATCTGGTTCTTTCTTCACTCTGCAATATTCCCAATAATATAAAGTATTATGCCATTTTTTTTTTAAATTTCATTCTCACGAAACAAAAATTACCTGACATCAGAGTTATATACATCACTGAAGTCCATGTTTATCACTCGGAACTTGATCAACGACTAATTGTTTTGTAATGATGTTACACATCGAGCTAGGTAACATAAGTGTAATAATATTTACAAATCGTGAAATGAAAGTTTGAGAAAATTTATGTCAACAGAGACACTCTAAACTTATCATTTATTATTGGAGAAATTATACTATTGATCTCGTAATAAACAATTAGCCATTTTCTTTGAATTGTATCTTATTACAAAGAAATTATAAATTATTGAAGACTTCATGAATCGCAAAATATGAAGCAAAGTTAACGTGAGCGAATGAAGGGTTTACATACATATTTTATATTACACTAACGCCAAATACGTGACTACAGTCGCATCTATATCATTTACCATTTTTACACAACGAGCGAATATCGTACATCTATGTAATCTATGTGTGATAAATATGCATGGTTAGTCATGTAGTCAAATATATATCTATGTATATTGTCACGTGGGCACACCGGTCCAGCTTAACGCGTACATACAGCTGTATATGTGTTGGCATGCCATGTGCAAATTCCTTTGGTCGCAACGTTGTCAATACACGCTGAGCACAAAACATCGATAAGTGAAATCTATTTCGTACGTGCTAATTACGGAAACCTGTATTCACCTATACTAATGTACATGTAGGGAACATCAAACTAAAAAATACGCCATATTTTTGTGTTCTACTTCCAATTATACCAATAATAATTTTAACGGCTTTACCAAATTAGCTGACACAAAAAACTCATTGTAACGTTGATTTATTATGATACTCATTGAAGCTACTATTATTAATTTCATATGGCTGAAACAACTATTATCATGATGTCGTATGCTATTTCGTTATTTACCATTCAGTCGCTCAGCATTTTGCAACTGTGGTTGCCACTAGTTATACGTAACAATATAAATCTGATTTGAAATTACTGCTTCATAAATTTTTAATACAATTTTGATTAAAAACTTATGAAGATCAGTATCGTAATTCACGGCATCGTCTTAAACTCGCGCTCTCAGTTGAATTTTTTTGATTCTTGTTGCGACACGACACAGGCTGGAGGGTAACATAAATTTGGAGCCGGAGTATCGCGACGCCTTCTGCATGAACAACAACAACCACAACAACAACATCGGCCATCAACGCAGAATGTCCCGCGTCGATCAGAGCTCGACGATGATCAACGACGCGTCGAAAAACCGAAGGGAGAGCGGAGGAGGACACTGGGCCGAAAATTATAGCGGCGACTGTTTCGGGGCCATCAACGCCTCGGAGAGTCAGGACGCGTTTCAAATATTGCATACGCGCGTGCACGAGGAGAGCGTCGTCGAGAAGCCACCGCCAGGGAACAGAAGGTACTTTTCGTCGTGACTTGTGGCATTAAACTCGAATTTTTTTATTTTTTTTTTTTTATATGCTCTTTAATAATATTTAAAAATGAATTTTCAAGTACTTTAACGAGGAACGTTGTACTGGCTGAAATAGCGATTTTTGAATATTGCCTCCAACCGCGTTTCCGTGGTGTAGTGGTTATCACATCCGCCTAACACGCGGAAGGTCCCCGGTTCGATCCCGGGCGGAAACATTTTTTGTCCGCGTCGAAGAAATCGCGTCCATATAACTCGGCGTTATCGCAGTCCACAATTTTATTTTTTCTCTCAACAAAAAACGCGATCGTTGTTGTTTCCGAATGAAAAATTATATGGAAACTTGACAAAGGAACTTTTACTTGAACTTTTTGCTTAAAATTCCAGATTAAGTCAATCGCGCTCTTCGCTGGTGAGCGTAAATTCTCAGCAATTGGAATCGACGACGAAGCCACCCCCCGCAGCGCTACAGAACCGTTCGCCGAGTCCGTCGTATCGACTGCAAGTGACCCACGTCGACAAGGATCAGGGCGCCGCTGGTGGCTTCGCGATGCGATCGCGCAGATCTCCGAGTACCCTCGTTCATCCGACCAATATCGAGCGCAGCCCTTCTCCGATCAATCAGGTCTTGATTTATGAATAAATCTATCACGAATCGACATTGATTTCAATTTTAGCACTCGTCAAATTACAATTCACAGATTCCCGCCGATCGCCCGTACTCGCCGAGTTTCGCGCGTGAAAATTCCGCGGCCAGCGTCACGCGCTCTCAGGCTTTCGTGGTGCTGCAGGACGATCATCGAGAGGCTGCCGCCGCCGCACCGTCGAGACACCGTCGAAAGTCCATCGTCGATCGCGGCAGCGGGTACAACAATCGTCACCGCGACAGTTTGGCAGGTGTCACGCGTCCAACGAACAGGACACCGACGAACTGGATGCCTCCATGGTACGACAGCAGCACCAGCACCATATAAGAGCGATTCGACGATATCTGATTTTTTTTTTTTTTTTTTGTATGATTCAGTTGATTACCACGATAATTATTGTGAAACGTTCAAATCAACGATATCTTACTTATTATTGTATCATCAAGCAACTAGTACCGATTAATTATGTATATTTTTTAATTATATAAAGTTACATCGAAGAAAAGACTATAAGCAGAAATTCGAGCGTGCTAGTTAAAATGTTGTTCATTTATGATATTTTTTTATAAATACCTCTAAGTATGCAAGAATATTAATACAAAAGTATGTAAAGCTCTATGCTAGTTGCTGCGATATATCTATCTGGTCTCATATAAAATTCATAAATAAAATTTCATATATAGCAGTAGCGTGAATTAGTAAAATTACTAGATTAAAAAATTTCAAGTACCGACTGATTATAATTTTAGCACAATTAATATTGTAACTCTTCCATATATGATACAATTTTCTTAAATTAAAAAAAATACAGCTAGAAATCAAATGCCAGTAGGAGCTATATATTTAACTTTATATCATAATATAACTATCACATTGTTATTGTACAGGTCTATATTTAGCTTAACAAAATAATAATTACATTTAAAGTAGAAAAAATCCAAAATTGTCAACACAAAGTAAATAAAAGTTATCAAATACTATGAATGTACTTTAGTTTTGTAGAATTTATTATGAATAAATAAAAAACTTTTATTCAGTCTTTTTTTTATAAAAATACCTACAATTCAACAACAGGACTTATAAATGTAAGAATTATGAAAGCTCAGTAGGAGCAGATGTTACGAGTAAAGATTTAAAGAATATATAACAATTCTACCAAAGAAATCTGTGGTATCTTCAAAAATTATTTTAAATACAGTAGCTTTTACAAGATGATCAAGTTTGAACTCTTGCAACGAATTTACATCTTCTGGATAAATGTCTTGAACGAATGTTAAATTATTGACATCTGGTCCTGCTTCAATATGTGCCTTTTCTGCAGCAAACCCACCTTGGAACTGGATTTTAATAAGCGACACTTCTACTTCTTCGTTGAATGTAATTATTACAGATTGAGATTTTCCCTAGAAACATTTTTCACAGTTATTACAGATGAAATTTATTATGAATGAAAGGTACGTTTAAATAAAATAATAGTTACTTTGTCACTTTGCCAGCATCTTTCATTGTCGTCATCAAACATGTATTTCTTCCCGTACTCAGAAACATTTCTGTCCAATGTAGAACTAACCCTAAGAAATGCATTCAAAAGGTTACATGTAAATGATACAAAATGATACGTAATATTACTATCACTTGAGAGTAAATTTTAAAAATACTTACCGGCACGTAAATTTGTCCTTAACACACAATGGCACAGACATTTTTCTCGCGTAAAAGCTTGAAAACTCAACTAATAATTTGTTTACAAAAACTCTGCCAGTGGAAGTGACACACGTGCTTACATGTATGAATGACAACTGGCAGTGGCACTCACGTCATCATGAGTCGTGAACTCACGACTCAAGATCTATTCGGAACATGCGCTGAATTAGGACCACATTTGAAACTTCAAAATTCAAAAGGATCAATTTTTCAGAAGCCAATATTGATGAAAATCTTAAAAATGTAAAAAGGACCTTGTTGAATAGTCAACTTATGAGAATTATTCCACGTATACTTGGTTCATTTTTTTACAACCGTAGATGTTAATAATATCAAACTTTAGAGATTATTTCCAAGAAATAAATCAACACTACTTTACACAATTACGCAGATAAAAATTATGTTAAAATCATTATAAGAGATACTCACACTTCCGTAGATGTAAGAGTGCGCAATTCTTTAATTTGTTTCAAAATTAATGGTTATTCGCATTGATGCCATTAAACGTTGGCGCTAAACACTAGCCGTAAAAAACACACGCGCGTGTGTGTGTGTGTATAGGTGCACAGTGTAGCAGACACGTGGAGATTGAACTTTGTGTACTTACGAACGCTAAAATTTACCTATATTATTTAATTCGATAATTTGCAATTGTCAAAAATGCAGGCGCCAACTGAAAATGGCCCCCCGAAAACGGCCAAACAATTGGAGAAAGAAAGAAAACAGCAAGCCAAGCTGGAGAAATTCAAAGAGAAACAAGAGAAAAATAAAGCAAAAGCGGTAAAAGAACCCAAAGAAAAAGTAGAGGTACGCAAATTTATCTATCTTTGGTGCGATTTTGGTACAATTCGAGTACAACTAGAATTGTAAGATTGCACGATCTTATCATATCGTAATCATTTCTTCAAGTTCATTCATAATTATACATTTATTTGATGGAAGCATATGTTACTTTGGTTGTTTTTACAATGAGTGGTATTTTTGAATAATTGCATCAGCTTGTCAAAAGGGTTTAAATGTATCATTATTTTAAGAGAGGATAAACCAATTTCCTTAATAATTAGAATGTTTACATAAAACTTCAAAGTAACTTGAATTCCATTTTTTTTTATAATTCAAAATATTAATAGTTATTACTTTTATATAGCACAATTGTTCATTTTGAATATTAATAACTAAATAATTCTTTCTGAAGAAAAAGCCAGGAAAGGTAAAGGAAGTCAAGGAAGCTGCTGTATATAATAGCAACACTGCTCCTGGAGAAAAGAAAGATGTTGCTTGTCCTATGCCAGATGCATACAGTCCTCAATACGTTGAAGCAGCTTGGTACGCGTGGTGGGAAAAGGAAGGATTTTTCAAACCAGAATATAATGTAGGTATTTACTCTAAAATTAATCAAACTTATTCTGTAACTGAGTAAATTTTTGTAGAGAAAAATAACTGATGAGAATCCCAATGGAAAATTTGTTATGGTTATTCCACCTCCTAATGTCACTGGTTATCTTCATCTTGGTCATGCTTTGACAAATGCTGTGGAAGACGCAATCACCAGATGGTTAGTTTATATTTCTGTACATTTTAACATTTTTATTTAATCAACTAACTGATAATCGATAAATTTAATGTAAGGCATCGCATGAAGGGACGTACAACTTTATGGAATCCTGGTTGTGATCATGCTGGTATTGCAACACAAGTAGTTGTTGAAAAAAAGTTGTGGAGAGAAGAACAAAAAACTCGCCATGATTTGGGACGTGAAAAGTTTGTAGAAAAGATTTGGGAATGGAAAAATGAGTAAGTATCTATTGATTCAAATTAGCAAATGATATGGTAATCAAAATTATATTGACATAACAAATAATCAATAGGAAAGGTGGAAGAATTTATGATCAACTCAAAAAGTTAGGAGGTTCCTTTGATTGGGACAGAGCCTGTTTTACCATGGACCCCAAATTGTGTAAAGCTGTAACTGAGGCATTTGTTCGCTTGCATGAAGAGGGTGTAATTTATCGAAGTAAAAGACTTGTGAATTGGTCATGTGCATTAAAGAGTGCAATCTCAGACATTGAGGTAAGCTTGAATATTAAGTGCTATAGTGTAGTTTACATGTAACATGATTATTAATATTATAATTTTAATTTCAGGTAGATAAAGTAGAATTAACAAAAAAAACAATGCTGTCTGTTCCTGGATATCAAGAACAAGTAGAATTTGGTGCTTTAGTATTTTTTGATTATGAAATTGAAGGTTCTGATGAAAAAATTAGCGTAGCTACTACGCGCATTGAAACAATGCTTGGTGACACTGCTATAGCAGTTAATCCAAATGATAAGAAATACTCAGCATTAGTAGGCAAATATGCCAAACACCCATTTTGCGCTAGAAGAATACCAATTATTTCTGATGATTATGTGGACATGGAATATGGAACTGGCGCTGTTAAAATCACTCCTGCTCATGATCCTAATGATTATGAAATTGGTATGCGACATAAGTTACCTTTCATAACGATATTGGACGAAGGCGGTAACATTATAGGCGATTATGGAATTTTCACGGTAACATTTTTTTTTCTCTGAATTGTTTATATGAAATAGTGTTAAAATTTTTCAATTATTTTCTAGGGAATGAAACGTTACCATGCTAGAAAAGCAATTATTGAGGAATTAAAAAAAAGAGGACTTATTACAAAAGATTCAATAGATAATCCTATGGCTCTATCGATCTGCAGTAGATCCAAAGATGTTGTAGAACCTTTGATTAAGCCTCAATGGTAAAATTTCATCTGCATTTTATAAATATATTATGTTGAATTTCTTATAATGATTCTTAAACTAACAGGTACGTTAAATGCGATGACATGGCAGCAAAAGCTAAAGAAGTCGTCGAGAATGGAGAATTGAAAATTGTTCCTGAACAATTCAAGAAAACTTGGTATTACTGGATGGAAGGTATCAGGGACTGGTGCATTTCTCGTCAGCTTTGGTGGGGTCATCGCATTCCAGCCTATCACATTACAATCGAAGGTAGCACGAACGAGGTAATTATTTAATTACATTGTGATACATTTAATTTTTCTATGATCGTGTTCATAATCCTTCGAATGATTATGTTAAGGTTTCGGACGATGAACGATGGGTAAGCGGACGCACCGAAGAAGAAGCTAAAGAAAAGGCAGCTAAAAAATTCGGAGTTAGCGCGGACAAAGTCACGCTCAAGCAGGACCCCGATGTCTTGGATACTTGGTTTTCTTCGGGAATTTTCCCCTTCTCTATTTTTGGCTGGCCCGATAAGGTAATAACAATATTTCAAATTTATCGATTGATAATTAAAACGTGCAAAAGGTAAAATTCAATTCATTTTTCTTCAGACGGAAGAACTCGAAGCATTTTATCCAGGCACCTTATTGGAAACGGGACATGATATTCTTTTCTTCTGGGTAGCACGTATGGTTTTCTTAGGTCAAAAATTATTAGGAAAATTACCATTCAAGTAAGAAAATTGTTTCATCGATGCATCGTTTTGAAACGAAGGGTATATTAATTTTAAACAATATTTTCAGGGAAGTGTACTTACACGCTATGGTAAGAGATGCCCATGGCCGTAAAATGAGCAAGTCTCTCGGCAACGTAATCGATCCGATGGATGTCATTCGCGGTGCTACTTTGGAGGTCAGTTTTTCAAAAAAAAATATCAATCTAAATATAATTCCTAAGTACAAACGAATAAATATCTTTTGCGATAGGATCTGCACAAACAACTGGAAGAATCGAATTTGGATCCGAAAGAATTGAAAAGAGCTATGGAGGGCCAAAAGAAAGATTACCCCAGCGGCATACCCGAGTGCGGTACGGATGCTTTGCGCTTCGCTCTGTGTTCCTACACGTCTCAGGGTCGCGACATCAATCTGGACATTCTCCGTGTCCAGGGTTATCGTTTCTTCTGCAACAAGCTTTGGAACGCGACCAAATTCGCTCTCACTTATTTCGGCGACGGCTTCAAATACGACGAAGCTGATCATAATAAGGTAAGAGAGTCATCGTTTTCTAGTTTATTCATTACACAATAATTATTACCATAAAACTTTGCTAAACTTACTTTCTACTATGAAAAATCGCATCAACTAGCTCGCTCTACATTACTTCTAAACTCTCACTATTCTCTCATTTAAAATCGAATGCATATCAGTAGAAACTATTACAAATAATTTTGAATGAAAAGCTGCCTAAAGAGAACGACAATCAGCTGGAAACTGTCAATGGCAGTAACCTGTGGTACTTGGAGACTCTTAGCGAGCCGTGCGTGTTGAATTCGCTCAATGCTTATCTCAAGCGCTACTCTTATCTGGACGGCTACACGCCGTCGCGCCTCGACGCCAAAGTTCACGCGACTTTCGAAAGCTTGAAGCTCGACCTGAGGCACAGGCCGTATCTGGCCAGGTGGTACAATCATCTGCGGAGCTTTAGCGAGGACGAAAAGCTCGGCTTTCGATTGGAAAATCGACTCATCGCGTCCTATTGTATCGACGCTGCTTCTAAAACTCGACAGTTAGATAATTGCTTAGGATTAAAGGTGATGGTTTTCTCGCTTGACGATGCTTATCCATTAGCCAAACTCTAATTTTCTGCACTAACACCTTGTTTTTACCCTTTCTCGTTCGCACTTAATCGCGAAGCATTTTTCAATGTCTTTGTCGACTTGTCATTCATAAGCTGCAACGTATTTAATTCAAATGTAATTTATTTCTAAATACATAGCTCACTGGTCACGAATCGAGTATCGATTTGTGGATCTTATCAAGAGTGAGTTACGCTGCTCAAGTGTGCGACGAAGGATTCGCTCAGTACGATTTTAATGGGGCCACGACGGCTTGCTACAACCTCTGGCTCTATGACTTGTGCGACGTCTATCTGGTAAGATACTTTACTTTTCATTTCATTTTACGCGAGGTCTCGCATTTGGACTCACCATTATTTTCAATTGAATTAGGAATGCTTGAAACCCGTATTCCAAACTGGCACCGAGCAACAAAAATTAGCCGCTCAACGCGTCCTCTTCAAGACTCTGGACGTTGGTCTTCGTTTGCTGAGTCCGTTCATGCCCTTCCTCACCGAAGAGCTGTATCAACGTTTGCCGCGCAATAAATTGGCGCATCCCAGCATCTGCGTGGCACCGTACCCAACTGTTTCCGAGGTTCGTCTTTTTAATTACCTCGTTGACTATCGTTGCACGAGTTGATTGTGGGTGTATATTGACCGAAATGATTTTTTTTACTTATTGCAGTGCTCGTGGAGAGACGAACAGTTGGAAAAAGACATTGACTTTGTTCAGAAATGTTATAAGAGCATTAGATCGTCGCGCGGAGCTTACAACATACCTAATAAAACGAAAACAGAAGCCTACTTCGTTAGCCACGAGAACGAAATTTCTGAAAAAGTGAAAAAGTACACAGATGTTATCGGTACTCTTGGATTTTCGATCGTTCGATTTGAAGAACCACCAGCAGGATGCACAATTATCACAGTATCGGACAAGTTACAGATCCACTTACTTTTGAAGGTAACTAATTTTGATGAAAATTAAAAGTAATGAAAATATTTACTTAACTCAATGTTCAATCGCAGGGTTTGATCGATCCTGTCAAAGAATTAGAAAAACTCCAGAAGAAAGAAACCAGCTTGAAATCAACGATAGAGAAATTGAAAAAAGACATGGCATCTGCTGATTACACTACCAAACGTCCGGTCGAGGTTCAAAAAGCCGATGCGGAGAAGTTAACGAATAGCGAAGGAGAAATGAAAATTTTAATCGAAGCTATGGAGACTTTGAAAACGATGTAAATTAAAAATTATAGGGCAATTTCTAAAATTACTTTTATAATGCAGTATTTTAATAAAAGTTGAATAATAAAAATATTGCTTGTCAAGAGTTATTTATTCAAATTTATTATGAAAGATTATGGAAAAAGGTAAGTAGGATGTATTTCATTAAAGGAAGTATGAATTGTTTATTTGGATTTATTAGTGCCATTTGTACATATAAAATTATGCCAATTTATCTACATGATGTTGTATCTAACACATCTAATTAAAATAAAATAACCGATCAATATCACAATATATAAATGGATAGTTAAACGCTGTTTAAAATAACTCTTTAAAAAAGATCATTTCATACAAATTTATCTCCTTTATCATTTGCATAGAATAATCATGTGATTTTTGTTCAAATTGATTTATGATTGACAACGCTTTGTATAGTTATAAAAGCTCAATTCAAGTTAATATTGTCGACGCTACCATCTAGCGCGAGTATTTGGTTAGTTATAAAAATCAATGATTCTATAAAAAAGGATTTTTAATGGTAAAAATAATGTATAATTCGATAAAGTTTTAGTACGTTTGGAATGGTTATATTCGCATTCCTGATTTATATTTAATTTTTTGAAATATTTACAAGAAAAAGTTTTTTACTCTTATTAACCCAGAAATATTATTATGCTTCTAAATCTTTGTTTTACGAGTCAGTTATCAATATTAATACATAGGCGATAAAAACAATAGTTTACATTTATTCATCAATAATGATATGTGATATTGTATAATACAATTTTTATAACTTGTGCAGGGACTTGTGCTTGTCCGGCATTGCGCAAGGTTCTTATGATTTTCAAAATTTTAATTTTCCATTCATTAAGTTCTGCACGAAAGAACCTCAATTATGATTAACAAACTAATAAATAAAATGATTCTTTCTGGTAGACAATTATAAATTAAAACCGTATAATATTTGCAGTTACTATAAAAAACATAACAACTTGATCAGACACGTTTCGAACCAATATCTATCTTAGGCTTTTTAAGTAAAAATGAAAATTTTCACACTTGAGTTCTGAAATTTTTCAAAAAAACTGCATGTTATTATTTCAGAAAAAAAGTTTAAAAATATTTATACTCTGCGTTTGCTTTAAAAAAAATAAATTACAACAATTGATAACAATAATATACATCATAGACATAACGAAGTAAAAGACACGCAAGCATTTTTTTTATGAATTAATACTGCAATCATTATCGATTTGCCGTGAATTTGAGTGTAATATTATGGCATTTGACTAACGATTCGTTGTACTTCAAAATATTCGATTCAATAACCGACCTTCGATTGACAATTAACTTTTCTTGGTATTAAATTTGTGGATGCATTTACGTTTGTATGCTTTACGATAAATTACGTATTTTGATCTATGAATAGATTACAAATATAATTATATCGTTACAATTTTCAACACAATATTACAATAAAAATAAACAACAAATAAATTTATGCACGACAATAAAAACATTGTATATTTTTCTTTTAAATTCTATAAATATTATTGAAAACAGTCAAAATTCATTTCATTTGAGTGGAAAATAATTTCTAGTTATCTTTTGTGAATATTCACACGAATAAGGAATAATTCAGTTATAAATTGAAAAAATTTTTAATTTAAAAATCACCAAATAAAAATGTACGGCGAATTGCTTGAGTAGTAAGCACATTATTTTCTCATTCTTACTTCTCGCATTAAGGCCTTTTTGATTCGTAATTTTTGCGCGTATCAAATCTCCAGTAAAACGAAATAGCCTGTTACGCCTCGCGATTACCCCGAAAAATAGTAGCTCTCTAGAACTACATCTACATGTGCAAACTTTTCCAATTCATTTTTATCTACATCATTATTATTTGCAGAAGAATCTTTTTCTAGTTATAAAATAAATAATTTTTTTTATTTGAAAGTAGCTTATTTTCATCACAGACAATCTACACTGATATATCATTCAAAAACGTCGATTTATACCTTCAGTATAAAATAGCTCTATAAAAAACAAATTTGATTCAGTACTCTTAAAATTTGTTAGCCTTACAAGTTAATCGGTTGAAAACTGCACGATTCTTGTTTTCGCGTATGTTGCACAAATAAATCATTCTCTTTTCCTCCATCGAATAATAATTCAACAATTTTTATAAAGGATCCACGGTCTACTTGCTTATGTACTAATAATCGATTTCTACAATTAAAAAATAAAAACAACGAAATATCGGAAAATTTACAAAAAGTTTTTTCCTCGACGGTCGTTAAAAACATCTCTCTCTCTCTCGAAATAAAATGTGTTATCAATAGAAAATTCGTATCAATATACGTATACACCGATCGGCATACGTAATCATATACAAATTGGAAAACTGTTGCGGGCGCGGAGGAGAGTCTTTTACTCGAACTTGGTCCAGTTGCTCGGCGATTTGACGGTCTGTTGGCTGGCGAAAGGAGAGCCGAAGGGCCGATTGTTATTGCTACTGTTGGCGTACGTTGGCTCGGTCAGAGGCGTGGACGACGACGAGGCGGCCGTCAGTAGCTGAGTATTGGTGGGCGCAGGCCCGCCGCCGCCGTTCGATAAATTAAATTTGTTAAAGTCGAGCCCGTACTCCTGCAGCAGATCCAGATCGCCGGTTCTCGTCTGCGTCGGAAAGAGTAAGATTTAGTAAAAAAATTGTTTGTCAAAGACACTCTCGAAATTCGCAATATAATTTACCTGATTGTTAGCGATGAGGTCGGATTTGCGCTTCTGCGGCTCGAAGTAAGGATAGAGCGGATTGCTCAGGCCCTCGCCCATTATCACGGGCATCTGCAGGGACTGGCTCATGTTTTTGGGAAGACCGGCCGCGTCGACCTCGTCGCTCCTCTTGGCCTTCTGCAGCAGCGGATCGAAATCCTCCTCGCTGCTGTTGGTCGAGTCGAGCCTGATCAAGTCCTGAACCTCCGACGTCGACGACGACGACGTGCGTTCCTGTAATTCGGGGGATAATTAACAAAACACAAGATCGGCACTCGCGAAAGCAGCAACGCGCGCAGAACGAGAGAATCGTAATAAATATCAATGACGAGTTAGTCGTGAGAAGTTTTATATACTTTTTCTACGATTTATATCGCATTCCTGCAAAGATATAAATATCAAGTTTTTGAATTACGACGTGTGAGAATGATAGTACTGTTTTTTTTTCTTCTTCTTCTTCGAGTCAAGATTATGATAGCACACAGATGGAGACGAAAGGGTGACATTAATCAACATCAAGCGGATATAGAGAAGCGCAGGCAACGAGAGACACAGAGGCAGGCAGGCAATGTTACAAAAAGATGCATAGAAATATAAAATATAAAGTCACTCGCAATTTCCCGGAACACGTCGGTTGCTTCATGCGTGACGACTTACTTTTCGCAGCGGCGAAGCCCGATTACTCGCTTTCGAGCTTCCGTAAAGCTGATGCTGCTGCTGCCGATGCTGCTGTTGCTTGGAGCTTGCGGCAGTAGTGGAAGTGGTGGTATCGTCGCTACTAGTACTACGAAACAGAGGATCGGAAATGCCAAAAGGATCGAGCGCCCGGCTCGTGTCGAACGGATCGGCGGCATGCCCGTTCAAATGACTATTCAGCGCGGACGACGCGGCGGCGGCGGCGCCCGACGAGGCGCCGTAAATTTCGAACGGATTGTCGGTCCTCAGACGATTCGCGAGCAGTGCTTTCGGCTGATCGTAAATGGCAACGAACGGATTGCTGAACTCGTGCGTAGTCGTCGTCGTCGTCGTAGTCTTTGCATCCTTGCTTCTCGACAAGAAGGATTTTTTTTTCGTTCTCATGTCGTTGTCGCTGTCGTAGTCGTCGACGTCGTTGTCCTTGTTCGCGTCGTCTAATTTCGCGTCTAGGTCGTTATTGCTATTATTGCTATTATCGGTAATCGATGGCCGTTGTTGTTGTCTCTTTGGAAGATGATAATACTCGTAAGGAGCTGGACGATCGGCTAGGGGTTTGGAGGACGAGGTAATAACGGTGGCGGCGGCGGCTGCCGATGTTGGCGTTGGTGCCAGTGGCGGGCCTTGGAGCCGTCGGTGCCGACTACTAATACTACTACTACCACCACCACCACCGACACCACCGGCGGTAGTGCTGTTGTTGCTGTTGCTGCTGTTGGTGGTAGTCGACGATCCGGACCAAGTCGACGTCGAGCGCAAACTGTCCAGACTTCGCACCGGTTTGAGCTGCAATAAGTCTTTAGCTGCACTCACTCTCGCTCTCTTTGATGGGCCCTCTTAACTCTCTCTCTCTCTCTCTCTCTCTCTCTCGTTTTCGCTCGTATAGTCGCGCGCGCGACCTATTCCTGATTTTTTATTTTTTTATTGATATCGTTTGCGGTGCAGATCCCCTCGACGCGCCAAATTCCCGCCAATAATGTATATATATGAACGCGGAAGAGAGACAGAGAACAAAATGGAAATTTAAAAATGCTACCTTCACCAAAGCACTCGCGCGATAGCCTTTTACATAAGTAATATGTGTATATTAATGTTATTATATATATGTGACACACACCAGAGACTGCGTGAAATGCAGCAGCGTCGAAATCTAAGCGCAAACTGCACACTGCCGCGAGCGGCGCAATACGTATTCAAAGCTGAATCAAAGAATCCCACTTATTGAACGTAATTTTTTTTTCTTCTTCTTCTTCTTTTTTTTTCTTTTTTACGCTGACACAGATGAATCTTATCGTTCTGCCGAGCACTCGCGAACCAACACACGGTGGCGTCGAGGGGCTTCGTGTGTTAAAATGTGTGCGCACGTGTGTGTGTGTGTGTGTGTATTGAGTTGCATCTTTTTAATCGTCGGCCGCGATGATGATTGTTAAAGCGAAGCGAATTATTGAAAATTGAGAAAGAATATTTTTGGTTTTTTTTCTCATCTGTCAAGAGGTAAAGGATTACTTACGTAATTTTTTTTTCGTTTCACCACCACCAGCTTTTGCGAAATTTCGTATTCGTTACATACATGTATACATGAATCCAAAAACATTCTATTAAATCGATGCAGTGCTATTTTATTAAAAAAAAATAATAACAATAATAATTTACGCTTGCATACACATTTCTCGGAGGGTCATGCGTTTATGCAACAAAATGCTGGTGTACGTGCGTATACGTGTGCGTGTTCGACAAAAAGTGTGCATAAATTAAGTTTAGTGCGTAAATGCGGCTATTCCATACAGAAACATACAAAGATCTACGTAATCGTTGACGGGCATGAGTGCGTATGGTGACTTGGATAACATGTATACACTTGGCAACAACAAAAAAATGTAAAAATTATACAGGAAGCACAGAAAAAAAAATTATTCGAATCGTTATTGTGTACGTGATACAACAATTATAATAACAATAAAAGGTATATTGAGTGACGAATCGGTATCGATAAAAGCTCTGGCGCGAGATCATCCGGCGCGCGTCAATCGTGCACATTATTTTTTTTTATATATCATCGAAGCAATGTGTGTATGCTGGCGCTATTCTCTCGATACAAGAAACACGATGCACGTGTGTGTAGTTTGTGTTTAAAAAGGAGAGAGGATGCTTGTAGTATATATATATATATGCACAAATATCCATGTGCGTACTTACGCTTCGATCGACCGGCGGCGTGTTCGGAAAGATGACGTCGCGCAGCTCGTGCATCAGGTCGATGTCGAGCCTGGCGGGCGGCGGCGAGCAGTCTTGCTCCTCCGGCGAGCTCGGCGACAGCGGCGAGTACTGCTTTCTGCTGTTGACGAAGCAACGATACATTTTTTTTTTTCTTTTTTTTTCGTTATTTCGATACAATTTTCGATCGATCGTTATTGTTAAATTTTAACGAGTAGTCGTTTCGCATGACGACGACGACGACGACGTAGATTCTCGGATCGTGTTGTGCGCGTCGTCGGCGTCAGAGGCGAAACACGCGCATTATTGCCTGCATACCACGTAATAATAAGACGAGAAGCGCCTCGGGGTCGAGGCGCTCATCTCCCGGGGTTAAAGATAAGGAGACAACGAAAAAAAAAGCACGACGTCTCGAGAGTGGCGCTATAACATTTCTAATTATATACGTATTTGCATACATATTTGCGTACAGCGCGCAACACGCTGCTGCTTTTTGACGTATCACTCGTGCGCGATTTACGATTTGCACGTTGCGTTATATTTTACGCGAACTTAATGTAATTTGACGAGCGCGAGATGGCTTCGTCCGAGCCATTTGCTCTAGATGTTTTATTTGAAAGTTTCGTTGTTTTACATTGCATAGATTCAGGCATCCCAGAGTACGCGTGAGAGCGTTTAAAGTAAAAAACAAACGATACCACGCAAGTTTCATGCTATTGATAGGCTCTCGAGTAACGTTACTATTTTCGTTGTAGCCAACAAAAAATAACATATTTTATTTGGTATACGCGAGGTAAACGCCACATGCAAGTCTATTATAAGCACTCGTCTCTCTGCTCACGGACGAACGCAGCCGACGAGCTGTGAACGATTCAATCATTGTATCGTCCAGTAAAATGCTTCTTCGAACTTTTCACGGAAATTGCATTAAAAGACGTCATTATCTCAGGTCGCGCGAGCGGAGCCAACAATCTTCTATATTCGCGCCAAGTAGAGTAAACGTTCGGTTTGTAGATGAAGCTGCAGTTACCTAGTTTCGACGTTACTGTTACGAATGCGCAGCTCCTTGCGATAGCTGCTGGTAGGCGTGAGTCCGCTCGGCGACTTCGAGGGCGACGCGTAAGAGCTCGATATCGGCCTGCGGTCGAGAGTCGGCGAGCTCGGCGCCGATCTCGGCTGATGATGGTGATGATGATGAAAATTATCGCCCCGAGACGTTCGACCTACATTCACGAAAAGCAGATTTTAGAAATAAAATACGAATGTACTCGCGATATCTTCGTAGAAGATGATGGATCTACCTTTCCACTTGAGCCCTTTGCACGCCGTCTTCATGTCTTTTCCTTTGTCTTTCACCTGGAAATGACGAGTCCATTGTAATTTATATTAAACTTATAATTTAAGTTCAAAGCCTAAATCTTACCGATTTGACAGCTGATTTAACCGCCGGATTGGCCCTATCTTTTACGCTACGAATGAAGGCAGATCCCTCCTTGCGCATGGCGTACGTCCACTCGCGATACTGCTGCATGAATTTGTTGCCAGATTTATCGGAATAATTACACGCCTCCATTTCGAACTCGTCCGAAAATCCGAGACCGGAATTCAGCATGTGCAGTCTCTCTTCGATAAACTGTAAAAATTAGATTTCGATTACTCACTCCGTATTACGATTCGAATAACATCTACAACGAATAGAAAATTGTTATCTACCTGTTGGAAAATTTGTAATTCGAGCATTTTCCTGAGAAAGGGCTGCATGGAGATGGGCCGACTCTCGACGAAGGCATCCTGATCGAACGATATGGTCATGTGCTGACCGGCCTCGCCCTGCTGCAAGGTCAACGCCTCCCTGTAGCCGGCCGTTAATTGGACTAGTGCGCGCAAAAACGCTCGTGACACGCCGTCGCCAAGGAGGGCCGGTCTGTTGCGCAGAGCTCGCCGCAGATTCGTTACCTGCGAAAAAGAAAGGACCGTGAAAAATTCGTAGGGAGCAACGATGAAACTTGTTCGAATCATTCGTACTTACCACGTCTTGAGGTAACGATTCCAAATCTTGAAAAGGTGACTGAATCGTATTGTCATCTGCGTTGAGTACGACGACTTCTCCCAAATCGCTTTGCCGAACACGCTGGAAAATCGAGAAATTGTTTTACTTTTTTGTCTTTGCTTTGAAGAAATTGCGATGCCCTTTTAGAGTAATGAGACTTCGTACGATCTATTTTTGGTGTATCTTACCTCGAGAATCGGAGACGGTACCCCGATAAGAAATGGCATAGGCGCTAACAAATAATCCATCAATGAAATAGGCAAAACGGGTATGTATATGTGCTGCCAAATCATGGGATAGATCAAAGCGTTGCAGGCTTGTACACATGCACTCAATCTGGATAATCTTTTTGAAGTAAATATTATTCTTCTTTCGTACAACATGGAAGCAAAAATCATCATCATGTTATGGGAATCAACTGCACTAAAGTATTCTGTTAGGTTCCTCTGGAAATTGAAATATTTTTTATATTATTAAATGGTTAAAGAATCAAGATGTAATTTTTATAATAATACTAACATTTTCAGGTATGCTTGGCAATTGAAATTGCTTTGGCCTTTGACACATGAACGTCTGAAATTCATTATTATTTTGAATATTTATCAAAATTCATTATAGTTTCATGTATGATGATTATATTAATTACAGTTTTTCCATCAGGAAGAGGAATACCAATGGAGGCTCCAGAAATTGGAATATTAGCTTCATAAACATCTGCAAGAAATTGCCATAAATCACCTGCATATTTACTGGCTGTTAATGTGGCAATGTGGTTTAATAATCTGTAAAAAATATAAGTAGATTATTCAAAATGTATGTGCAAAAATTTAGTTAAATCATTCATGTTTCTTACTTGTAAAATGTTTCATGCCAGGCTAATGCACTGAGAACGACAAGTGCTGTTTCAGTTTTGGGATCATGACGACAAAAACCAAATGTCCATTTGGAATCAATACTTGTCAAGACAAATGAAAAATGTTGGATTGTAGTGCTGTAACATTTTTATAATATGTTAGTACAATCATAATAGAGTTAGAAGTACAATTGTAGAGATAAAATTTGCTTGGACATACTTTTCAAGTTCACAAGGGTATGCAAATTTAGGAACTGATTTCAGTACTTCTGTGTCGTTATAGGTGTCAGGGAACTTTTGTAAAATCCATGGCTGTTTTTCTCCATTTGGTTGAGCCACTTCACAGAAGCATTCAAAAAGCTGCTTCACGTTTTCTCTGTAAATACGTATTGATATTTTAATGAATAATCTAAAAAATGATTATTGTATTGTGTCGCTGCAATTAAAGATTAGATTTTGAGATATAGAATTACTCATAGTAGTAGTTATTTTATTATTGTACAATATACAAGTTATACAACTGCATGATTATTTTATATTCAAAGAATTATCTCAACTTTTTTATCATAAATGTATTGAAATCTAGGTAATTGAATATTTTTTGTGGGTGTTGTCAAAACAATTACTGATTATGAAACAATATCTCAACGAAAATTTGATAGCATCAGATAATCTGTTTATTACTGTATAAGTAAATGATCTTATTTCATTTCATTGATCATCTAAACAATTTATTTTCTCTTGTTGTATCGTAAACATGAAAATCTAATTTTACAATATTCAGCATTCCCGTCAAGATGTTCGAAATAACCATGCTAACTGTAAAAATTATCCAAATAAACGTCGTATATTTACCTAAGCCTGGAGCCCATGGCATCGAGGTATTTGATATCGATAACAGATGCTAATGCTCGTGTTAAAATACACTATCATGTTGCAATTGCTCACTGTTGTCCTGAACACTACTCGTCCTAGCAGAACACCTCATTGGCATTTCATGCATGTTTAATAACACACATATACACGCACGCACAAACACACTAAAAAGCTGGCTCGGTTCAGTGCTTTAAATCAGGTTTTGTTTCGGTGCGAGACGAGTGCTGCACGTTCGCACGCTTCACAGTACACACCATGAGTACTACGAGTACACGCAGTCGAAAAAACACGGGTAAACACGTATAGTTAAATCCAAAATAATACGGCAGGATGCACGATCAACTATAATTGCTATACATGAAGCGCTCGTTAGAAGAAATTAATTTTTGAGTTAACGGAAGTCGTGCGTGTGTGTTTACAGCACACTATGCGTGGGCAAATAATATACGCGACTGCTGCTGTTGCGAGATAGCTGCTTGGGATGCGAAAGAGGAGAGACGAGCAAAAAAAAAACGCGGAGTGGAAATAACTTCAAAGTACAATAATGATGATGTCGATGAGATTATCACTGATATAAACGAATGTAACGCATCGAGCAGTCGTCGTCGCGCGAGAGATATACAAGCGTAAAAACGTTGCAATCACTGCTACTGCTGTTGCTGAGTACTGCTGCTGCTGCTGCTTATACTGCTGCGGTATTGCTCCTTCCTCGCATGTATGCGATATATACGAGAGAGAAGGACGGAGAGAAACTCGGATCGTAAAGAGGGAGTTGCAAAAACTGTGACGTCAGGTTCAATGATATTAAAAAATTTTTTGTACGAAAAATTAAACGTTAATCATCCATCATTAACTCTACGCGTTTTAGTTCTTTGGAAGAAAAGAAAATCGAAAATAACGTTACGAAATCGACGAATCGAGCGCACTCAGCCCGTATATAATGCGAATAATGATACACATAATGTTGAACGAGCGCGACAATGTTCACAATGCGTATACACACAGATATATAGGCGTATATATGAATTAGATCGTGTTATATACGTTCGAATCAAGGTGGATCCCACACGCATATATACCAGCTGATGAAGCATGACGTCATCCCTTGTACATACACACGCTCATAATGCACACTGTCTCGCGCGTATGTAAATAAAAGCGCGTTACAATGATAGGAGTGCGGCCCGCGGCGCGCCGTTTACAACTCCGATCTCGCGCGCAGACTGACGCCGGTGCACGCTTCTCTCTTCGTTCTCGCGTTCAAAATTGCGCGATGCATCGCGAGACTCTTTTGAAGCGTTTCATCAATAAGATGGTTTTTACTTTGCAACGTTCGAATTAATTTTGTCATCGTCGACGTGAGCGATTGAATTTTGAAATATAGCTATTTCGTATCTAGAATCTGCCCGTTACAGTTTAGCAGTTGATCAAACATGCTAATCTTCGATTTTTTTTCCTTTTTACATTTTTCAAGAGCTGACTGCGCACAGCGCTTCGAATATGGTTGTGAGCCATAGCTTATCTTTTTTCTTTCGAGAGCTTTCGCAGTTTTGAAAAATAAAATTCGTAATAAGTAAAGCGACTCGTGGTTTTAATATTGAGAAAACTGTTTTCAAGTTTTTCGACTTGAAAAAACTTCTATTAAAAGAGTAATGGCTTTTTCTGTATCTCTGTACAATACGCGGCCTTATTTATATAAATTACAACCACATGAATTTAATTTAGGTAAAGAGATCATGAAAAAAATAACAAAGTATTTGACAAAAGAAAAAACCTCTTATTCATTCCACTTTATAAAACCGGAATCACATAATTCATCAAGTGATTAAAAAAATCATCATAGTACACATTTTTTTTTTTTCATATATTTACATCACAGTTTTATTTACAAAAACTCATTTCGTATATAAAGAATATTAACCGAAAGTAACTTATGCTAATGCACTTCGATAGAATATATACATAGTATGTTCCCTTCTGAACTCATCAGTAAGGCAATACAATGAATGTTTTATTCACAATGTTAAGCATTTTCACGTATTTTATCATTAACAATTTCAAAAATTGGACCATCTTTTTCTGCATGATTTTTATCTACTTCCTTAACTTTGTCCTTTACTTTTTCAGAACTTTTATTCTTTTTCTTGTCTTTCGATTTTTCTTTTTCTTTGGTTACTTTGCTACTCTTGCTTTTCACTTTATCCTTGTCTGTTGATTTATCTCGCTCTTTTTCTTTGTGTTCTGATTTGTTGTCGTGATTCTTAGTTTCCTTATTTCCATCAGTTTTTTTCGAGTTATTTTTTGCGGAATTCTTCTCGTCGGTAACTTTTTTCTCGTCGTTCGAATCTTTTTCCCACGAGCAGCTTCTTCGTTCAGTTGATCGTGGTAATGACCAAGAGCGACTGCGATTCCGTTTTACCGGGGTACGTGATTTGGCTCGTGTTACGCATACTTGAGATTCGGAACGTCGAAAACGAGAATTCGAACGATGGCGTCTTTTTGATCGAGGTGGTGTTCGAGATGGGCTTCGAGTTCGATGTTTTCGACGATTATACTTTGTTCTAGGAGAACGAGATCGAGATCGGGATCTATCAAGTAAAATTATCGTTTAAGTGTTGAAAAATGGTAATGATATGGTAAATATAATGAAGCTATTTACCTTCTACGTGATTTTGAAAGACTGCGTCTTTTTCTATCTCTACTTTTAGACCTAGATCTAGACCTAGATCTAGACTTATTTCTACTCCTACTTCTCCGAGAAACATAGCGTTCCTCATCACTATGAATAAAGTCATGATAATCTTGACCAACAAGACTGGCAAAGTATTTGTAGTACTGCTCATTTATCTGCGTTGGATGCTGATAGTCGCTTGCATCTCTTCTACTTCTAGGACCTCGATTACCTCTGAATCCTCGCGTTGCTCTTCCTCGTCGGAAATTATTGATCGGTGGGTATGGCAGTAATGGTAAAGGAGAATTGTAATACCAAGAATTATGATCTCCTGGTAAATAAACTTCAGGGCGTACTATTGGAGCTACTATAAAAGAATAAAATTCAAGTGAGTTTAAATTTTTTAAGGTGGCAGATAAATTATTTTGCAGTAATGAACAGAGATATTTTTTACCTAGCTCATCTTTCTTTTTTGCCTTGCTTTTTTCATCGTCAGATTTATCAGAATCAATGTCCGACTTTTTTTTCTAAAGTAAATAAATAATATTAATATTTTTTAGTTTATAAATAAATTATATTCAAAAACATTCCAAGTGCATACTTTTTTCTTTTTTTCCTTTTTCTTTTTGCCTTTCACATTTTTCTTCTTTTCATCGTCTTTATCATGCTTTGAGTCACTTTCTTCTTTTTTGCTCAGAATTTCGTCATTGGTTTTGACTTTAATTTCAATTTCTTTTTTTTCAATTTTTGTCTGAAATTCAAGGATATTATTGTAAAAATTTTTTCATTTACTTAGGGTGAGATTTTGTGACCCTTACTTTTATTCTATCAAAAAGTTCACCCAATAATCTCATACTTTCCAATTGCCTTTGGGTTTTAATGAGTTTTCTTTCTTCATAAGCAATTTTTAGCGATACTTTATCCTCTTCTTGTTTTCGGAAAACTGTAATTGCTTTGCGCTTACGTTTTTCTTCTCTCATTCGACGTCTCGAATATTTTTCTTGTTCCACTTTTTCTTGCTTATTTCTGAAAATTACGTTTTATAGTTAATTTAAACACAAAATTAATAACAAATATCAATTGATTCTGTTTACAAACAAACTTACTTCATTTCTTCTTTTTCTTTTTCTTCTGCTAATTTTTTTTTTAATAATTTATCTCTTGCTAAATCATCTTGAGCTATGAGACGTTTTCTCTCAAAGGCTCTTCGGGAAACAGAATTATCAGTCATATGTTTAGTCTTATCAAAATCGACCTTTAAAATAAGATAAATCATTAATTATGTTTTGCATCACAATGCTTATAAAATTTTAAATAATTTATATCTTTACTTTTATAGATGCAATTTGATGTTGGCTTTCTTTTTCTTTTTTAAGAAGTTTCATACCTCTCAATACATTCATTGTTTTCACAAAATCCATGTATTCTGAGAATTGTATATAAATATCAAAATAAATACCATCGCCAAAACTAAAAGTTTGCTGCTTATTTGTTTCAAGTCTCATTCGAGATCTATAAGGGTCTGCTGCAGGAATATCTACTCTTTTAACATCACCCCACTTGTGAAAGATTTTAATCATTAACTGTTCACTAGGGGTTTTGCTACCATCTTCACAGAACCAGCTGATTGGAAGTCCAGTGATATGAATTGTATCAGGTCTTTCACCTGCTTTGAGTTCATTCATATGTCTAGCATCTCTGAAGTATGAGTCCCAGGAGTGTTTGCTTGGAAAATCATCCTTGGTCTCGGCTGCCTTCACCTATGTAACACAATTATTATAAATATTGTTATGAATATTATATTTGAATACACTTCTGTATGAATAAATCCATTACTTTTAAAATATTTGGAAATCCGGCCAAGTTCAAACGTTGGCCATCTAATTTTGCTAGTACTCGCTGTAGCCTGGATTTGTCTCCTAGATCTGCCTCGAATCTCATGAATTCTAATGTACTCTGGATGACTTTGAGCGAAGCAAACTCGTCGGGTCGTATCAATAGACGCATCTTCTCCATTACATCCCATGTTGATATAGTTTTGCCTGTTTATAGTGTAGGAATGCTCTGTAAAACCTGCTGCTACTAGTTGAAATATATAATCAAAGTCAAGACTAAGTTGCATCGTTTTCATCTTTTTTCTCAAAAAATCTTCGAGTGATGTTGATGAACAACGTAGTCCAGAATTTGCCGCTTGTCTTCTTCAGTATTTAATAATAAATTTTCAATCCCCAACCAAATAACTCTTTAACCGATATTAAACTCATGATTCTACAATGTCAACAGTAATGTTAGTCTATGATATAATTGAGTATAAATTACTGATTATATTGATTAAATAGAATGAAAAGAGCTATCAAATGAAGTATTATAAATCTGTAAAAGTATATTAAAAAACTACACCAATAAAGATTTTCATACTCGTTTACCTGGAGTTTTTAGTTGAGGAAGATTTACCGATACATTTATCTTTGCTATTGGTTTCAAATAAATTCCTCGTTGTGTGTAAAACGGCACAGTATCACTGAAATCCTTGCAGCTGGAATGTCCATTAACAACCTTTCCACTGTTAGTTTCATCTTTGTTATTTTTATTATCGCTCATTGTAAATTTCGTACGAATACAAATTCCAATCACATTATCATAAACAACCCAACGATTCTAATAAGCTACCTTTAGTTGTTTTGATTACTTTTAGTAATCGGATGTAGTAACTTACGATATGAAGGTATTTCAATACAAATTTTAAAACAAGACTTTACCAATGTTTATTTACAGCTTGAATTAAAAAAAACTTCAAGATATGCAGAAACACAAGTGGAAAGGTCGCTATAAACTATTATGGAAATAATTCATTTCACGATGGTTAGGTTACCCTCTGTACAAACAACTTTAACGTTTAACACTGTATAAACTTTTTGTTCGTTTAAATGTGAAAACTGTTGTGAGTAAATTTGGAGTTGCGAGTGATCGCGTTCAGTTTGGACGGCCGTGATATGTTGTTATTTTGTAAATTTTGACGGCTTCCATTTCCAAAATGCCACAGAAGCTTTTTACGATGCGTCCAATCAACACCTTGGGAACGCGCAACTGCAAGAAATGGAATGCATGCACATATTGAAAATGGCATCTTTAAGTTCACCGCGAAAATGGTATATGCGATTTTGATCACATTTTTGGTAGATTGCAGAAGATTGGGATAAATAAAAAAGGAACAAATGTTGAAATAAATAAATCGATGTTTTCGACGAAGAAAAAAACTTTACTGAATGTGATCAAAATAAAGTCTGACCAATTGGTATTATTTTTTGAAATCATGAACCAAGATGTAAAATAGAAAAATTAAATTTTTACATGAGAAAAAAGTGTTCAGAGCGTAATTCATTATTGTAATTTTTATAATTATTTTTGAGTACTCGTAAAAGATAATTCATCTTTTATCACTGAATAATCAAGTTCAAATTCGAAGTTTGCATAATATAATTATTTATAATAGTCGTGTTGGCATCATACAAATACAAACCAACTGAGAAGAAGTTTGCTCATTTTTACATTTAGATGATATAATCAATTTAACAATAAACGATTGCAAAAAATCATGAACAATCAATCTATAAAGATCAATCTACAATGCCGGGTCCATTCTGAACGAGTCTATCGAAGTCATCAAGCCAGTCAGAGTTTAGCGCGATATCGGCACTGTGCACCGAGCGATTGCGAAATTATACATTTTTAGAAGTAAATAAACACGAGCAACGAATTCGCACAGTATACGCTAAACACGCGTAACGATTTTACATAGTTTTCAATTACATTTTTTATAATTATCACAGAATGGATCATAAAAGTGCTCAATATATGGAGGACTTTAGTTTCGAACCTAAACAAAGAACCGGACAAAATTCGTAATACTATTTTTGATTTTATTTTAATACATTTCAATAGGTTACATTAAAGCATATGTAAAAATTATTTTATATTAAAGTTTTGTCATTCGACAACGTATGATTTTTCAAAGTTCAAATTTTTGAAAAATATGTTTTTTTTTGTGTGAATAAGCCAGCGTTAGAATTTTAATTTAAGTACAATTCATTGTTAAAAATTGTAAAATTTCTTTACTTTTTTACAGCTCAAAAACTAGCTCCAAAACTGTAAATACTAAAACATTTAAGGACACTCCAGAGCCAAGTTGTCGCAGTTTAAAAGTTGATCTACAGACACTGCGAATATCAGAAGAATCAGAGAGAAAACTTTATGAAACTCTAAAATTTATCCGTGGTCCTGTAAGTAGTTATTAAATTACATTATTTTGTTTTTCTAGTAAAAATAATTTATTTTTTGATGATTCTTAATTTAGAGTTATAGACTTGCTGCTGCATCAGAATATGAAAATAAAAATACAAATTTGGGAAAACAGTATTGGCTTCAAAGAGGAAACTTGGTGATTAAAAGTTGTGTAGATTATTCTCAAACTGACAAAGCTGTACTTTCTAATGAACAAATTACAAAAAACTTTGCGATTTCAAAGCTACAAACATACAAGTGAGGAATGATAGTCAATATTTATAATAATAAGTTGATATTTAATCATCATAGTACCTTTTTAATTTTATAGTTTTGAAGTTCCTCATTGTACAGAGGCTTTAAAATATACTGAAGGTGATTTTAGTAAAGCATTGGAATTATTGTTTTGCAAATATTATGGTTATGAAAATTTGCCAAAATCTTCCAATTTAAATGAACTGAACTTAGATGAATTAGTTCAAATCAGAGAAGAAGAAAAAGAAGCTTTAGAATCAATTTATGGAGATATTTTCAAAGAATCAATAAAAAATCGAGTATGGACAGTGACAATGAAATTAAATTATTTGATTGAAACTGAAGAAGAAAAAGTACTGAAAAATAAACCTAAAGTGCCTTTGAAAGAGATTTGTAAACTTTATCTTGCAGGTAAATGCAGATATGGTATAAAATGTAGATTTATTCATAGACAGCCAGCTGCTAAAGAAGAAGAAAAACCAAAAGAAGATCCTACTTTTATATTAGAGATAAGATTTCCAGAAAGTAAGTTTTTTTTTCAAAATCACAATTTTTTTTTTTCATGAATGAATGGTGGCATACTAATTTATTTATTTGTATTTAAGATTCCAAATATCCATATGAAGCTCCTCATATATATTTTTATAAACCTAATAATGGGAAATATTTTTCTACAAACTGTTTGAGAATTGTTAGAAGATTACTCAATGAAGCTTTAACTTTTTGTGACAATGGTACTCCCTCCATTTACAATATTATTGCTTTGTTAGAAAATGAAGAAGAGATAAAAACATATTTGAATGAAAATAAGGAACATTTTCTGGATAAAGATGATCCTTTATTTCCCCAAGAATCTGAAGATATTGATTCTTCACAAAAGTTACGTAACAAAAAATCCCATAATACTAGAAAAAATGCTAATCAATTTTCTTCTGAGGAAATTATTAAACAAGATTTAGATATTAAAACTCAATTTTTGGATAAACAAAGAAGTTCTCAGTATCAAAAAATGAAAAAAGTTCGAAAACAATTGCCAGCATGGAATAAAATGAACGAAGTTTTGAATACTATACAAGAAAATCAAGTAACAATAATTTCCGGAGAAACGGGCTGCGGAAAAAGTACCCAAGTAAATTGCAAAATAAAATATTTGTCCACGATATATTTCATTGAAACTAATTAAGTATATTTTTAGATTCCTCAATTCATTCTTGATGATTGGATAATCAACCTGAGTAAAGATTGTATGGAACATGCAGAAATCGTTTGCACCCAACCAAGAAGATTAAGTGCAATTGGAGTAGCTGAACGAGTTGCCAGTGAAAGAGATGAAAATGTAGGAAACACAATTGGTTATCAAATTAGACTAGAAAATAAAATGTCAAAAAATACTAGACTAACATTTTGTACTACTGGCATTCTATTACAAAGATTATCTGGTGATCCACAACTCAAATCTGTTACTCATATCATTGTAGATGAAGTGCACGAGAGAAGTGCAGAAAGTGATTTTCTTCTTATGTTGTTGAAGAAATTATTAGTCAAAAAACCAAATTTGAAAATAATTCTCATGAGTGCAACTTTGAAATCTGATGTATTTTCCTCATACTTTGGACAAGTTCCAATAATTAATATTCCTGGTAGAACTTTCCCTGTGCAACAAATATTTTTGGAGGATATTTTAGAATTGACGAATTATGTTATAGAAGAAAACTCAACATTTACAAGAAAAATTAAAGGATCGTGGGAGCGACATTTAATTGATTTACATACAGCTCAGCAACAATCATCTTCAATGCCAAAAGAAACAATATTAGATGAAAATCTTTCATTGGCTCAACTAACAGGAAGATATTCTGAATATTCTGAAAATACATTGAAAAGTCTTTATCTCATGGATCATGAGAAAATTAATTTTGAATTAATTGAACATGTACTGGAATGGATTGTCAATGGAGAACATGCTTACCCAAGAACTGGAACAATTTTGGTAAAAAATAAATTCATAACATTTTTCCAACAGAATTTTGTAAGTTATTTTTTATTATGTTTTTATAGATATTTTTACCTGGGATAGCAGAAATAATGACTCTCAAAGATACCCTAAGAAATAATAGAACATTTTCTCCTGCTAGAGGAAAATTTATGATTGTTCCACTGCACTCCACTTTATCTAGTGATGAACAAAGTTTGATTTTCAAAAAGCCTGAACAAGGCGTTAGAAAAATTGTATTGAGTACAAATATTGCTGAAACATCTATTACAATAGATGATTGCGTTTTTGTTATTGACACAGGAAAAATGAAGGAAACTAGATTTAACACAAATCAAAATATGGAAAGCTTAGAAATGTGCTGGGTTTCTAGAGCCAATGCAATGCAAAGAATGGGAAGAGCTGGTAGAGTTATGCCAGGAGTCTGTATAGATTTATATTCATCTTTTAGGTAAATTAACGGTTTTTTCTGTATGTTTTTTATTCAATCAAAAGATGTCAACGTTTTTTTTATTTTCACTAGGTTCAAATATCACTTTTTGGCTCAACCAATTCCAGAAATTAAAAGAATAGCTTTAGAACCATTGTTACTACGAATTAGAATTTTGCATAAAGATCCTCTTTTAGATCTTTATGAAACTTTTGGTAATGTAACAATAAATTGCTTATGCTATAATTGTGAATGTACAGAAACCCAACTACAATATTATTTTTGTATGTGTTTAGATAAAATGATAGAGCCGCCGACGCGGGAGAGTATCGCAACAGCGATACAAAGATTACAAGATGTTGGAGCTTTTGATCCAGAGTGTATTCTAACTCCCTTAGGTCACCATTTAGCAGCCTTACCAGTTGATGTTAGAATAGGAAAGTTAATACTCTATGGTGCTATTTTTTGTTGTGTTGATTCAGCTTTAACAATAGCTGCTTGTTTATCACACAAAAGTCCTTTCATCTCTCCCTATGATAAAAGAAACGAAGTAGCAGCTAAAAAAAAAGAGTATTTAACTTCAAATTCTGATCAATTGACCACACTTAAGGCTTATCGTGTAAAAATATTTTTATATTTGTTAATTTTATTAAGCATTTTACATGATGTTGAACCATGTCTTTTTAATCTTTTAGAAATGGATGGAAATACATAAGAAACATGGTTTTCGAGCTGGACAAGTTTTTGCTGATAACAATTTTTTGTCTATAAGAGTTTTACAAACGCTTGCAGATATTAAACATCAATTTTTGGACTTATTAGCTTCAATAGGTTTTGCATCGATAGAAAAAAGAAGACATGTAATGGGGCAAGATAGAGTTATTGAGTATACAGGAGATGAATTGAATGAAAACAACGAAAGTTACAAGCTTCTCCAGGGCTTGTTATGCGCAGCATTATATCCTAACGTAGTTAAAATTTTGACACCCGAAAAATCGTTTGTTATCCAATCAACTGGGGCTATTCCTAAGCAATCAAGAGCCGATGAATTGCGCTTCAAAACCAAAAATGATGGAATGGTTAATCTTCACCCGTCCTCTGTTAATTACACCGTTGGACATTACAGCAGCCCATATTTAGTTTATCAAGAAAAAATTAAAACTAGTAAAATATTCATTAGAGAAGTAACGATGGTATCAATACTCTCGCTTGTTTTGTTTTCTGGATATGGCATTGATATAGAACTACACAATGGAACCTTTATCATTTCTTTGGAGGATGGATGGATTATGTTTGCTGTAGAGTCTGAAAGGGTAAGATATATCCGTCATATATAAATTAATTCTATATTAATTTTCTGACGAGAAAATTTAATTAAAACAATATATTTTTAGACCGCACAACTTCTTCAGCATGCTAGAGTGGAATTAGTCAAGTTATTGGAACAGAAAATGCAAGACCCTCTGATGAATATTGTAGCTCATCCAAATGCTAGAAAAATGATTAGAACAATTGTTGAAATTGTTACAAGGGAATGATTTTTTCGACTTTTTATTAAAAGCGTAAATTACTTTGTAAATTCTAGAAAATTTCGATAAAATTAGGAAAACCTGGTGTTTTCCTATTTTAGATTTATTTGAATTTTTTTCATCTATACATATAAGAACTAACTTATTTGTTTTAACTAGAGAGAACTATTTTATTGAATCTATTTAATTTGATTAATTTAACTGATAAAGAAAATTATCGAAGTCTTATGTTCGATTTTTTTCATGCAATGCATCGAAATCTATATTTTCTGCGATAAAAATTACACTTCTAATTGTGCAATACATTCAATATAGAAGTTTATTTTTTCATTGGAGATTGTATAAAATACTGACAATATTTATAAAAAATGTTCAATGTACATAAATTATGTTCGAAAATATGTTAATTATGTCATGAAGATTTTTATTGTGTTCAAAAAATTGACTTGAAATAAGTTAAAATATAAATCGTTAAATGAAATGTGTTAAGAGAAATATTATTTTCATTGAAAAGTTTATCGTGTTATAGAGAATTTAACCAATTCTACTGTTCATTAAATAAAATCCATACTTCACATAAACTCATAATTGTCAATTCAAATTTACCTCGCAAAATTTGCCCGCTCCCTACACAAATCCTGAATTCTGAAACTAGTACAATAACCTCAAAGATTCGTCGGCTTCTATGTCAACATTGAACCATCACTTGCGTAAACTCGTAAACTCACGACAGATTTTGACAATTGATTGTCATTGCATTTTTATGCAGTTGAAGTGATTTTGAGTTAGATCTAATCTTGATTCATTATTCGTACCTCATAATTGTTCATCATGTCGGTAGCAAATATGATTATAACTAGAGGGATTTCAACTTCCTGTGTCCGACAAGGAAAACGCAATTTTAAAAAGTTTACATTAATTAACAAACGTGGTTCCAGATTATTTAAAGAAATGCAAAAAGATCCTAAAACAAGACATCCAGATTACCCTATTGATAGTAAGTTACGTTAGATAATTCAAAATTAGATGAAATGTCTAAGATACATGTAATAATTGCATAAAATGCGATCTTAAAAATTAATGTTTACTTTAATAGATCGAGGAGTAAGACCAACTGGATACTTGAGAGACGATGAAAAGTTTATTACTGTACCAGAAATGATTCCAGAACTTGTTGTTCCAAATTTAGAAGGATTCAAACTGAAACCTTATGTATCATACAGATCAGAAGAACTATATGATGAACCGTTCACAGCTGATGATTTATTTCATGCAGTTTACGCAGATAAAATCCGTGATGATTTTAATAAAGGTCTGTTGACACCCACTGGTGAACCTGTTAATCCTAGTCCTGAAGAAAGACTCACCGCTGAGGAAGCAAGAGATTTAGCAGCTTCAACCGGCTCAGATATGTTTACAATGCCTTTGCAACCGGCTGGAACTCTATTTTCAGATGAACCAAAATAGTTTATCATAGTACATTAACCTTTTGTTTTTGTTGAATGTAATTATGTACAGTAAAGTATCGAGTTGTAGAGGTAATTATATAAAATTTTAATAATGAATTCATGAATTCAGTAAAAGCTTAGTTAATACTTTCTTACATCCCTCTAAAATTATATTTTAAGTCTTTTACAGTTATTAGGAGTAAAAAAAGGTATAAAATGGTTTAAAATGAATTTTAAACTATTAGAGATATCTTCAGGATATTATTTTATTCAATATTATGTTATAAGTTTTATAATCGCCTGCGTTTACACAAACATTTTAAATCTAAAATGTGACTCTTAAAAATACATTATATAGGCGAGTATTTATCATTACTATAATTTTAAAATGTAACATATTTCATCACACAGGTAAATGGTAGTGCAACATCACTTTTACTACATGATGAATGATATTGATTAATCGACCCTTTAAGGATATGCATCGATTAGCTCGTTTATTACTACATTTTATTAAATACGGAACGACAATTTACTTTTTTTTTTTTTAATTGCGTAAGATGGATCAATTTGTGTGAAAATGCACCTGTAATTATTGACTATTCATAGATCTTTTTTGTCTTTGTTTACTAGCAAAATGAATTTACGGGTTCCATTTTATCTTATACACATTTGTTCGTTTTGTCGGGATTTTTGGAGCAATTTTGCAGAATCTTTACCGATAAAACTCGTATCATCACGTAAATCATTAAAAAAAAGTCTTGGATTATAAAAAGAATCATGATTAACTATTGGTTATTGGTCAACAGCTGCTGAAATTATTTGGTACTAGTAAATTTAAACTTTCGTGCTTAAATGATGTGCATTCATTGATTGTTACCGTCTTTTTAAGCCAGCCAACGGACGCTGTGTTTTAGTAGTAATTTTCATACACGACTTTCTTGTCTGTAAAAGTGGCTTTAGAACTTTAGAAGCAGTTTTTCGTAGATTATTATGATACTTCAATAAAGTATGATTGAAATCGTTGTTAATAGAGCACGGCCAGTATACATTAATAATATCGTTATATTGCTTAATATAATGTAATCATTTTTTAATATAGCTCGAACAATGATTACTGATTGAATAACTGCCTGATTCGATTTTCATTTTTATTTATGTACAAAATGGACAAAAGTCACGAGAAAAGTGCTTCGGACGTCTTTACTGTGTAAAAAAGTCAGTTCGCGAAAGAGCAATCGATTGACAATAGGCCTGAAGAAATAAATTATTAAACTTTTAGATAGTAATTTCACGCTCGAAAATATTCAAATTTTAACGCTGTCAATTAAGTAGATGTATAAAAATCACTCGCAATTTTTCTCAGTATACTTTCAGTAGAATGTGCCACCCAATTTAATTAAGCCAATGCTCGTCATACTTTTTTTTTTAGAAAATGATTCCCCAACAAGTTTCTTGCTGTTATATCAATTAAAATTTGTATAATTATAGAACATATATACACCTGCTTTCGTGACGATGATCCATTTTCCATTAACAATTATGAATGTATACTTTTTTTTTTATCAAAATAGGACGCTGCACTCTGTCTCTCTCTCTCTTCACGAAGGCTCGCGAAACTTAATCAGCGATCCTCTCTTAATCAGTATTGTCTGTTTCTTCATATATATTTAGACGGACTTTTGTTGCATCATATATCTTTTTTTTTTATTATTATTTGTATATCGTTTTTATATTCGTACGAAAAGCTACAACGTAAAAAAATTTTTTTTCCATCCGCGCGCGCCAAAAGGATATTATATTCAACGTGATCGAAAGCAAGTCTTGTTTAGAAGTCGTACAATATGTCGTTTAAAAATCACCTACCGCACATGTCAGTATCTATATCGATTGCTGCATGCGCAAAGAAGATAACGCGTGCACTCGAATCGAAAAAACATGATGTGTCTGCGAAGTACACTTTGGAATTCGTTTTCCGGAATCATATCAAAACTAACAATTCCTAACAATGAGACGAGACACAAATAAGATGTTTGTTAGAAGAAAAAAAAACGCGAACTCGAACAGCCTCTCGATATAAATCCTTTATATTTTCAACTATCTACATATTGGCTTATACTTAACTTTATCATCGGTAAACTTGCAAAATCTACCGACGCACTACACTCTAATATCTGCTTCTTTTTTTGTTGTTGTTTATTTCCACTTTTGACGTATAAAAAAGATCGATTGTTCCGTGGGTTATTTTTTTTTTTTTTTATTGTGTACGCGCGTATAGGTGACTTATTACAATATACATAACTGCCGAGCTGCTCTCTCTTGCACGTAATATCGCTTGTAAAAAATACCGATCGACTGCTACTACTTCGGCGATCGGTACAGCACAGAGAGAGAGCAAAAGAGATATGATATCGGAGATTGTAAATGTTATATATTTTATAATATGCTTAGCAATCACGTGTTGGGTATGTCATTTTTTATTCATTTTTTTTTGTGTATACTTGTATTTTATATTAATCATGTAAATTCTCTAACAGATCCAGTCTTGCGCGAGTCCACTAATACGTATAATTGAGCCTTCGTATTTTTAAGTGGAATGACGTCGATAGAGTGCAATGTCCTTGCCCATGATTATGCTTTAGTTCCAGTATAATGCGATTATGTTTTTCGAGTGCCACAAGCACACGATACAGATGTAGGGTATTTGATGTTATTTATTTTCATCAACTGTGCTTTTTGTTCATTAGAACTCAGTACTTATTCGATGTTTTTTTTTAATTTGTAATAATTTTATTATTAATCGCTTTCAGTTTTTTTCATTCTTATTCTACGTATTCATATAGAGTACCATTTTTTTTTCTTCAATGCTTACGCTATATAAAATTGTTTGTGTACAATGGAAGAGGCTAACATGTATTATATGATATTCGTTATAGATAAATCAATTAATTAGTCCATAATTCATCCATTAAAAGTATCGTTACGCGATTAACTCCTCGTCGGCGGCGATTTTCACTTACGATTCAATAACTTGCCTTTCTTTTTCATACTTATTTATAAATATGTTTTTCCTATTACAACGTAGCTAAAAGTTAAATCATTATAATACAGTTTCGTGATCGTTACAATGATGAAAAAATATACGACAAGTGAAAAAATATTCGAAGCAATCGTTTCGTCAATAAATAATTGCGACGCGTAAATATATCAAACTTATTGCCTAAGATGTATACACAAAATAATTCACTGTAATAATACTGACTTTTTTTTGCTGGTTTTGCAATTGCGAATGTACAATGTGGAAATCATCAGCGATATGCACAGAAACGAGCCGATGAACGTAAAAAAGTTTCATATATAGTTTATGGATCGTATGTAATACAATATTCGAACGACGCAGAGAGTGTGCAATAATATGTTTTTTTTTCACCGATCAGAATTATCATATCTGAACTTGCATACAAAAAAAGAAGTAGAAGAAGAAGAAGAAGAAGAAACTCTCGATCGCTTTCGTTTGCAGAAATTATAGTTACGAGAATCGGGAGCTTTCGCGCGCGCTCCGTCTTCGTGTTGTATAAATATTTTGTTCTGTTTTTTATTTTATTTTCAAGTTTAACATTATTAATATTACTCGCAGCACCAGATACTTATCATTTTATAATAGAGATATATAATGTACTATATGTATCTTTTGCATGTTCATACAATTTTTTTTATAACACGTACGATAATCTTGCAGTTTTATCGTAAAGCACATAATACACATTTTGCGTCACACTTGATTATGAATAATTTCATTATTATTGTTATTATTATAATTAATAATTTTTTCCTTCTGAATGGGTGCAGTGTACCAAAAAAAAGTGGATCATAATCCCAATGTCACTCGATGTGAGGCAATGATGCTATCCGGTTTATCTCGTTGATAAAGGACGATCGTGAATGGTATTGGTCTCACTGTCGTCCTCAATGATATTTTGCGTGCGGAGGTGGTTTTCGAGCGAGCAGCTATATCATTTTAATACCGTGATTCTCGTGAACGAGGGTCCTATGTAATTGATATTTTAGTACGTCGATAAGATGATGGTTTTGTTAATCGATGCTCAATTTTTTTTTTTTTTTTCGTAAAAAAGAATGATATATCATTTAAATTGTCAGCACGTGCTTCGTCGCCATGATTGTCGATGATTACACATCATCGCGGGCTTCACTGTTCGTTGTCGGCGATATTATATATTAAAATTATTGATTCAATTACCACGAGTAAATTCATAACATTGCTTTCATTGAAAAAGTTAATTTGTTTCATTAATTGGCATCGTTAGGCGCACGGATCGCATCGCATCACCCGATAATAGTTTTTTTTCTCTCTCTTTCTTTCTCAACATTTCCTCGACTATAAGTCTTATTTTTTTTTTTTTTTTTAGATATTACAGGATTTGGTCGCAGAAATCTTTTTTGGACCATCTTCAAAATTGTTCCGGTAGAAAAAGTGTCGTAATGGCTCTCGAGCACTGCAGTTTCATTATCATTCGGTTGTCCTTCCACTACATAGCGCGTGATGTGCATGTGTCATTGGTGTTATATATAGATTTTCTATTTTTTTCGGTTTTTTCTTTCTTTCTTTTTTTTGTTTTAATCAGTCTATGATAAAATTGCACGTTCCGTGCAAGTAATATGTATTTTCAATTATTTATTTTTTTATCGTAACACTATAGCGATAGATATACATTATATTTTCGTCGTCAGTCGTAAATTTTCATATTTTTTTTTCTCATTTCTAGTTCGTCGTGCTACCGAGTATACATATTACAATATTGAAATTTGCCATCGAAACGAAATTCCAGAGTATAGAAGCCAAAGTCGCAATAATGATATCTTAAGATACTACCGACGTGTGTACAATTTATTCCATATAACTTCGGCGCAGCTGTGTATAGACGATTGTAAAAATTGACTCGTTCGAAGATACTCGCATCAATTTTCGTTGGTAATAAATATAAAAATCTTTTTGGAAATCAGGGTAGCACGAGGCACGTACATATTAACTTTGACTAATTATCAATATTATTATTTTTTTTTGTAATATAAAATCAATCAGCATCATATCATCTAGTACGACGTAATGATTCGAAAGCTCTCTATATAATATTTACATAATCTATTATTTTTTTTTAATTCGTCCACGTTCGAGCTCTGCGGACGAAATCATCCGCAATATCTCTAATTATCAATTATTTTATATCTATATACTTTTTTTTTTCGTGTTTTGTATTGACGTTCGACACATTTTTACGAAGCAGTCTCCAGAAGCCGACTAAACGATAATTATTATTATTTCGGTAACAATACGATCGTAATCTGCGTGTATTATTATTATTATTATTTTTTTATTGTATAGTTTAGCTGATATATCGTGTTAGATTGTTCAATATGTTTATATCACTTCGGAGCGACGCTCCAAAATCGGTAATAATATCATCGAAAATGTCGCAAGTATATAACATAACGAAAACCCGATCGTTGGACGATGCAATATTGTGTATATCGTATAATATAGATACCTTCGTGTGTGTATAATATACTATTCAAGCAAAACTACGACTGAGCTCTAAATTTTTTCCCATTTCAACTTTCGATATACATTTTTCTCTCTCTCATTCTCTTTTCTATCAACAGGCTTGGAACAATTAATTCAACAATCCTTTAACAAGTCTTATTTATTACCCAACAACTCGCTGACGCATTTTATAATATTAACAATTTGTAATAACTCAGTCGAAATGTATATGTGTATGTGCGCGATTAACTTAGAGCCTGACGAGGGTCCTGCGCGATCCCGAGCCGCTCGAGCTCCTCAGCCTCAATGTGCAGTTGGCCAAGGAAGCCCTTATGTCCGATAGTCATTCCATCGGGTCGCCGGGGCTGTTCTCGAAGATGGTCGAGTGCGGATTGCTGCTGCCCTGGGTCGGCCACAGGAAGCCGTTGTTGGCCACCGCCGCGTTGTTGCTGTGGTGCTGGGGCAGGTACGACGCGCCCCCGCCGAGATTTTCCACCTGTCGTTACGTGGGTTAGTGGGTATTCAATTTACAAAGAAAAAAAACGTGCTTGCAAAATTATATAGAGACGTGCAGGACTAATTAAATGTGTTAATTTAAATAAATTCAACTCAAGGATCGAACGAGTAATAAACATTTTATTTAAAAATCATGTGGTTTTTTTTTGTTCGTTCATTCGCTCATAGGAACATGATGCAGGTACTCTAAAATAATAGTAGACGCACAACGTGACTCTCATCGATACAAAGCACATAGGCATTCGTACACATGTATAGTCCTTATAATCGGCAAAAAATCATACATCTCTCTAACAATCGATATACTTTGGTAAAAAGTGAGCTTACAAAAAAAATAGCTATTTCCGATACGTACACAACGTATAACGAAATAGTCGTGTGTGTGTGTGTGTGTTTATTCGAAATTGCGTATGTATTATAAAAATTGTTCGCAAAAAGTTTTCAACATCTCTCTCTCTAGCGTATAACATAATAATCTTTTCTCTCGACGATAAATTCGAGAATCGAGCTTATTTTATTAATATTTACTCTCTCGAACTTGCGTAAAACGCGTGCAAAACGCGTCTCGAGAAAAAAAGGAAAAGATTTCTAAATTTAACGCGCGCGTTCGCGTGCTCAACACACACACACATTTTTATTTCGCGCGAGATAAAACAAAAATTATTTTTCCTTAAAAAAAAATTTTTTTGTTTCCTTTTTTTTTTTTTGTTCGCGTATATAAAAATAAGCGCGATGCGTACAAAAGTATTCTCACTCGAAATAAACATTGGAGACTCGCGAGAGCTCCTATATACGCTTGTATACAAAGTTTCTTAGATAAAAATACTGAACGATAAATTAATTTAAATAAACATACGTGTAAATATAAAGTATGCGCGTAAAAATGTCTCGACAGTTTGAAAAAAAAAAAAAAAAATAATAATAACGCATACACACATGCGAAACCATCGATATTCACCCACTCGTACAGCAAAAGAAGGTAAGGAGAAAAAAATACTATTGCAGTGATGAAAAAAGAAAAAGGATTCGTGCCAAAGTCGAGAGGTAAACGACACAATATAAATATCGATCTAGGTGTATTATATACGTGGCTGGGGGAGCGGGAGTTGGGTTAAGGTGGGTGGGTAGGTGTCTCTCTTTCTACAAGGAGTTACGGCGTGCACTGCTATACTGCTGCTGGCCCCGCGAGATCTCACTCTCTATCTAGGACGTTACCTGCTGGCTCCAGAGCAGCGTCCTCTCGGCCAGCTGGCAATCGGCGGCCAGCCTCGAGGGCAGACTCTTCCAGCGCTCGTCGTTCTCGCGCTCCCTGCCGAAGTCGTGCTCGTTGAATCTGTGCTGCTGCTGCTGCTGCTGATGCTGCTGAACCTGATGATGATGCTGATGATGATTGCCATGATGATTGTGATGATTGTGCAGCGGATTGAGGTGGGCCTGCTGCTGCGGATAGTGATAGTGCTGCTGCAGGCGCTGCTGTGCCGGCGCCAGCTTGTAGCCGCAGCTGTCCTGGCGGGACAGCAGATACTGACTGCCGCCACCTCCGCCGTCGAGTTGTGTGTGAGCCGGATGATGGTGATGGTGGAGGGTCATGGAGCCGTTGATCGAGCCCGGGGTCGGACTGCTGCCGTTGCTGCTGCCCGTACGGTGGGCCCGATGATACAGATTGCGCTTCTGCTGGAGCATGCGCTGCTGGACGAGCAGCTGGAGCTGGGAGCCCGCCGAGTCGACGCTGCGCAGCTTGAACTGGTGGCCCGACTGGGAGGACTGGGGGGAGGCCGGAGGCGGTCGCAGGTGCACCAGGTCCAGGTGGCCGCGTGCCTTGCCCGAATCTGCACACGCACAATTATTATCGTTATCGTTGTAAAATTTCTTATACATCCATCATAGGGTTGTAAGGATTTAAATGTATTTTAATTCGCGAATCAATTTACATGATTTGAATCACATTTTTTAACTCAAGTTTCTCTGAGTTATTCATCTTCTAGTGGATTTTTCGAGGAAGTTATAATTCTTTGAAGCTCTCGAGACTTTAGATGGATCTCAGAAAATTCAAAGTATCTTGGTAATCCCCTTATGTGTATTTCTTCAATTCACCTAGAGCCCAAAAGAAATATAGAGTCACCTACCCAGTGAATGAAAGGTTTCAAAAAAGTTTGCTTAAATTTAGCTCAAATCAACGTTTTTAATAAATTAAAGGCTATTATTCAGATGGATTATAATAGTAAATGTCTTTCTCTACCGAATAGAATTTTTGCAGAATTTTTACTTTCGACTTTCATTAATAAAATAAGGGAAAAAATGCACGATGCACCAGTGAATGTAGCATTTTTAAGTAAATGAAACTATTTTCAGAGTCATTTAATTAATAATAATATATTCAGAAAGTTGTTAAAAACTATGGAAATATTTAGTATTAATGCTCATTACATTATAAAATTTCATTACCGATGAATTAGTTCAGTATAATTAAATTATATTAATTTATAAATAAAGTTTCATTCACTGATGCGTTTTCAATCACTGGGGAGGTGACTCTATAACTTGAGAAGTCCACTGTAGGCTATTTTTACTATACCCAGAGCATAAAAAATTCAGAGAATTAAATTGATTTATAAATTTACAAAAAATCAATCAAATCGATTCACGATTCGTAATTTTATTTTTTTTTTTTAACCGTACAACGAACCTTGGATGCTGCGCTGCTTGACGACGCGCTCGATGGCGGCCTGCTGGGCCAGCAGAAGCCTCGGCCCACCGTCGGAGGCACGTCTACCCTGGGCGGCGACCCTCGATAATCGACTGGCCACGGGCGACGGACTCTTGGGCGGCGGCGGCGTGCAGCTCGGCAGGCTCGAGGTGAAGCAGCTCGTCGACGTCGTCGTGGTGTAGTCGGGCGGGCAGCCCGAGTCGAAGCTCGACTCGAAGAACTCGGACGAGCCGCTGCCGCCGTTGTGGCTGCCGCTGCCGTTGCTCGCGCCGAAGATGCTGCCACCGTTGTTGGTCGTAGCGTGGCGTATCACGCCCCCGTTGCCGTTGCTGTTGCTCTGAATCGACTCGCTGGCAATGGCCGAGTCTTGATTGCTGGTCAACGTCTCGCTGCTGGTACCACCACCACCGTTGCTGTTGCTATTATTGCTGCTAGTAGCGGCGCCGATGCTGGCGATGTTCGAGCCGTTGCTGAAGTGCTGATGCTGATAGTCGCTCAGCCGGCGATTGACGATCTGGCTGTCGTTGCGCTGGTGGATGTCGCGATCGAGGCCGAGCCGGTGCTCCTCGAGCTTGATCTGGGCGTCGCGCAGCTCGTCGCCCGACGGTATCTGGTCCTCGAAGTCGCCCTCGGCGCTGCAGCAGCCCTCGTCCGTGGACGAGCTCGTCGAGCTGAAGCGCTTGCCGTTGCGCCCGAGCTCCTCGCGGCCTCTGTAATCATCAAGCCACAAGGGACGTTTAGAAATCTGTTTTTTATAATCTTTATAAGAACTTTTATGCTACGTGAATTTTTTTTAAGCGAAGAGATGTCGATGATCAGGGTTATTTATCTAAGAATGCGAATGAGTCTGATTTCATTTAGTAATAGGCGATACACACGGAAAGTTTTACGGTTGATGAAAAAATATAATATATATATATATAGTTAAGCAGAAAGGTTAACTGCTGCCGCTACTCCCTCGATTGCGAACGAGAGAATTCTGCAGTCCTGAAATAGAAGCATTACCAATGCATGCATAATGTATACAGGTATATACGCATTATATATTATGCCAGTCAAGCTCACGGCGGAGTATAATATATGTATTATTATTATTATTTAAGGCAGGCAAGGTAGTATATAGGTAGTCCATTAGCCAGCGTATGAGAGAGAGAGAGAGAGAAGGATAGAACTTTTGACCGATGAACTGAAAATTCGATTTCTTACTTTTTTTTTTTTCGAGCAAAAAAAAATTTGAATGAGTTCGAATGGATGCGGGTCAACGAGTGTAAGTATAAAGTTATTATACATATGATTATTCAAATTCAAAAGAGATGCTTTTTTACAATGATAATATTAATCGAATGTACATAAGAGAATAAACAAGCATGGAAAATCGATTTATGTATGTTCATTGCGCTCTAGAAACAAAGATTTTACCAATTATTCGTGCGTACGTATCGCGCGTAACAACTGACTGACTGACTGACATACACACAGAAACGCATCCGAGGGATCTCCGAGGGCATATAGTGCGTGTGAATCGAAGCCTCTTCCGATTAAAAATCGATCGTGAGTGAGCGAGAAGCGTCCGCATATTCCAATAACGGAGCGAGATCGATTTTTCTTTTATTTATAAATTTGCGTGTTTGCTTTTTTATTGTTGTTGTTGTTGTTGTTGTGTGTTTTTTGTTTTGTTTGTTTGTTCGTTTGTCTGTCACCGTTGGTTCTTGCTTTATCTTCGACGGCGTAGTAGAGGGTAGCGAAGCGGTACCCTTTTTTCTCAACTTCCGTCTAAGTTATCATCACTGCAAAAAAAGAAACAAACGAGAAACGCACAAAAAACGTTATGTATTAAAAACGAAACAAAAGTCAGAAAAAATCATTATCTGGGAGGATTGGCGTGTCCATTATATTATTATTGTATGGGGGGACCGTATAATACTTCCATCTATATGTATGACAGTTGTTGCGTCGAAAAAAAAAAGAAAAAAATGAAAAGTAAACACTCTCGTTTTTCTCGCGCGTGGAAAAATCTGATTAGTGCGCGCGCGCGAGTCAGAAGCGTTTAATAATAACAAAAAAAAACAGATGAGCGGTCGAGTACACATCATCGACGGTGTGCACCCAGCAAAAAAAAGAAAAAAATGTTTCGAAGGAGTCATTCGTTTCACTGAGCATTACCATTATAATAATACGTGTATAGTGTGACGTGTGTGCGGTCTAGTGCAGTTTGTGCAGTATAATATTATACGCAAGGATCAATAATGTGTCACACTCGACTTTATACATACACACACGCACAGTGACATTAATTTTGCAAAACGCGAGAGCACGCCGGGGCTGAGCGATGATGATTTATTCAAGCGCGCAACGATGCGAGCTTTAATATCGTAGAAAATTTTCTCGAAAAAAAAAAAAAAAGAAATAGAAAAATAGAAAAAAAAAAAGAAAAACATCGGCAGCAGCGGCTGCAACTGGTACGAATGAGTTTATTCGCGCGCGCGATCGAAACCTCGAGTACGTATATATATGTGCACGTAGTAAACACATCACGGCCGCTGAACACATCAGCGAGCCGAAGACATCTATAGTTATATATGTGTGTGTGTTTGTGTAACGCGATGCATTTTTAATCGCTGCGCGTCGGTAATTGATATTTTCTTACACAGGCCGCGTATATCGCTCCGCGCGCTCGTTTGTATCGATGCATGTTGTATACGTATATGCGTGTATGTATAATATACGAGGAGAGAAATCGAAATTCTCGGCTCTCTCTCTCTCTTCATGTCTCGCGAGTCGCATTATTGATTGCCTCGCGTATGGGTGCAAAATTGTGTTACACACTTTGTATATATCATGAACTATACGCAGAAAGAAGAAGCAGCATCGTGTGTCAATTACTGAGTGTCTATGTATACGTGTATAGGTGGCAAATAATTTCTAACCGATAACTCACCTGGACTTGAATTTTTCGTCCTTGGGACAGTTGCGCTGCTGCTTCAGTCTCTCCAGCAGGAAGAAGTATATGGCGGCGAAGTGATCGTAACTGTTGTTCCGCACCGACTATAGAAGCAACGACGATATTATTTAACAAACTCAGATCCAGATAATCATTTGATGAAATAAATAAACTTACCTCTCTCGTGCGTGCCACGTCGATGCCGATGCTCTGCATGACCCTGAGTACCTGCTCGTTGGGCTCCTGCAGGGCGGGTGGCACGGCGCTGGGCAGACTCGTCCTCACCTGGTCGCAGGCGCCGCCGAGCCACCTGTGACGCTTGATCTGCGGTATCGTGTAGCGCTTGCACGGCTCCAGCACCAGCATCTTCCTGATCAGGCTCTCGCAGTCTGCAGGCACAGATAACGCCACGCTCAAATATTTTTTTTTTTTCAACTCGTGTATAGGTGTGTGTATCGATCCGCAGGTCCAATTAGGCTCTTTCGTAATAAAAAGGAATCGATAATTTCTCAAACGTACGATAAGTAGGCACACTTGCAAGCACCATGAAAGCTAATAATAATATTAATGATTCTTGCGCGCAATTAAAGCGCGATTTGGGTCAATCGCGCCCGTGCTCGCGCGATCGAGCGTAAAATTATCGGCGCTATGTATAATACGTATATAGTTTTGTACATAAGCGATCAGCTGCGAAATCGGCTCGGCTTTTTTTACTCCCGATTTGATGTGTGTGCGTGTAGTACGAGCGACGAGCGATTGAACTTTTTGCTCGCGCACAGCGAGCGAGAAAGAGAGAAAACTTTCTACACACACACACACGTGAACGAGCTCGACGAGTATTGATAAAACACAAGCTGCACACGGAATTATCACTGCAGATGATTGATTCCTCGCCGCGCGCCGTCGACTTTTACGTCATCGACGTGTGCACACACACGAGTGTTTTACGTCAACGCCGCGCGATTAATTGTATATGTGCTTTTCTTTTCTTTTTTTTTTTAAACTTCTTTCGATAAACGGTAATTCTAATCGATCGAAAACTGTCGCCAACTCAACGACGACAACGTATGTATACACTTAGTAGCGCATCGAATCAAAGTCGCTCTTTTCTTTTTTTTCTTTCTTTTGTCGCGCGGTAATAACGCGGATAAAAATTTCAATCGTCCATGTATATAGCGAACGAGGAAAAAAGACCGATGACGTATAGGTGACATTCGAAACAAAGTATAGCTCGACTTACCTGTGCTCATGAAGTAGGGAATGCGAAATTTGCCGCTCAGCACGCGATCTCGCAGCGACTGGAGGGTCGAGCCGTCGAAGGGCAGGGCCCCGCACACGAGCACGTACAGCACGACGCCCAGGCTCTGTTCAGCAAAAAAAATGAAAAACTCGTTAGAAAATTAAATTAAAAATTAAATTACGATATTCGCAATCGAACTTACCCAGACGTCGATCTCCGGGCCGGAGTAGTGCTTGCCCTTGAACACCTCCGGGGCAGCGTAGGGCGGCGAGCCGCACCACGTGCTCAAACGCTCGCCCGGGGCGAAACGATTGCTGAAGCCGAAATCGGCGATCTTGACGTTCATCTGTGCGTCGAGGAGGAGATTCTCGGCCTTGAGGTCGCGATGCGCGACCCCCGTCGAGTGGCAGTACTCCACCGCGGAGATGATCTGGGCGAAGGTGGTGCGGGCGCAGGGCTCGCTCATGCGGCCGTAGCGGGCTATGTAGTCGAATATCTCGCCGCGGCTCGCGTACTCGCTCACCTGTTATCACGGACAGTTTTTTTTTTAAATTTCTTCGCTCAAAAATTTAAATAAAAATAAGCAAGTAGGTAGAGAGACTCACGATGTAGAGCATATTTTTCGTCTCCATGACCTGGTAGAGCTTGACGATGTGCGGATGATGGAGCTGCTTCATGATGTCGACCTCGCGATACACCTTCTCGAGATTCGTCTCGTCCAACTGGCTCTTGTCAATTATCTTAATGGCCACCTGTTTCGTGGCGAGAGTACACGACATAAGTATATATATAAAAATGTCAAACGAGACTCACGTGCGCGCAAACGACGTAACATACATATAACTCTGCTATATCATAGCACACGACGCTACTATGATAATAATAATACAGAAAAGATTCGTACTACAATCATAAAGTCGCGCCCGAACGAGTACGAGCTGAAAGTAAAATCGAGGTCGGCGGCGCGCGATGGTTTTTTGGGACACGCCAGACTGAACTTCTGAAGTCTCTCTACTGCTGCTACTTTTTAAACCTAGTGGGTGTGTGTGTGTCTGTGTGTGTCGAAGAATCGACCTTTGTTATAGCCGTGCACACGTGATACTCTGTATACGAGTGCAGCGCGTCGTAAAATACAAAAAAAAGTGAGAGAGAAGAAAGTATACGAAGGGAAATTATTATCATCATTTTTTTTTGTTGTTGTACGAGTTTGGTTGGTCGATTCGCGCTGCACCCGCGCCCCGTGTCTGCTCCGATGATTTTGCGCGACGCGTATTATAATATGTATTTTACAAAGGATATACACCGCGTATATAAACCAACAGGAAAACAATGGAATTTTATTGTTTGTCGAGGCCCCCGGCTCCTCCCGCCCGCGAGTGTAAACTTTAATTCCGGAGTACGATGTTTATTCGTTATTACGCTCACGGCTCGCGTCCAAGTGCAGGATGGAGATTATGCGCGATTGTTGACGAGCGCAAGCCCCCCCATCCGTGTACAAATATATACACGTAAACGCGTTCGGCAATGGCAAAAAAAAAAACAGTCGCGTCGATAATTACGGGAAGTCCATCCGATTTCTCGCGACTCGCACGAGCGGAATATACACGTTTAAACGAAAGTTGTAGTTGGCGTCGACCTCGTCGATCGTGCGTGATAGCTGCTTTTGTTTTTTTTTTTTTTTATGAAGTGAAACTTCTTTAGGTGGGTTACGGGTTACGGGAATCTGAAACGACTGCTCTCGTGACTTTGTATAATGTCACTGCGGGTGTGTACAGTCGGAATCGTTCAAGGATTATAATATATCCGAGACTACTTGGAGTTTGCGAGGTTCGAAGACATTGAGTAAGCTCCCCTATACGAGTCATTTTGTTTACAATCGATGTAAATAAAAATAATCGAATTTCATAGAAATTGCTACTCGTCTGTGCTTTTACCGGATGCTACGCGCGACAATCGGTCATTTTTTATTTCGTTTCGTTATTTTTGTTTACAACCGCAGCGATTTAGCGCAATCGTATCCTGTTGATATTATTATTATTAATATCCATGCACGACGACTAATTACCTCTGACTTGACGATACGATGCCTCGCGAGCTTGACGACGGCGAAGTTGCCCTTGCCGATCGTGCCCTCGATGTCGTAGAAGCCCACTCGCACCTGCTTCTTTTGACCCGTGGCTGGATCCATTTTTTTAGCGTCGTGTTGTTGTCGTTGTTTTTTTTCTTTCAATATTATTATCCGTCGTTAAAGGCCGTTTATGGCATCGATTGTTATTGTTACGTAGAAAAACAGGATGAGGGAGAGATATGTGTGTGTCCGCAAAACGACGATGCAACAACAATAACAACGACCACGACGACGACGTAATCCGACTTCTCGAGTGAGATTACCTGGAACAGAACATTGAGAGAGAGAGAGTAAGTAAGCATCAAGGAATCGATGAATTACGAGGTATCATACAATTAATTTAAAGGACGTTGCGTGCGCAACGAGTAGCTGCATGACACCGCTAATTGAGCGCTACACGCGTTTACGAGTGTTCCTACAGCACGTACACACGAATCTATTATAGCGCATATACTCGCGGAAGAAACTCGCGGTGCTGCTCGTAATATACTATATACGAATATGTACGCGAGTGTGTTGTGTCGCGGCCGGGCTTTGACGTCATTCGTCGCTCGCTCGCGTATATACGATTCTTCTATATGATACACCGACTCGTTACAATAAGTACATTACCACTCGTGTAACTGCAGCTTTGCCGCACTTATTATAGAAAAAATGGAGCTATTTTTAACTGATAATAATGCTAACGCACGCGAAAAAATTTGACGCACGCGTGTGTCTGATACGAAACAAAGCCCGATGCGCGGGGCGACGATGCGCGCGCGTGATATACCAGCCGCCGAGCTGCCAGTACGTGTCACGCGCATTTGAATTTCAAAAAAGCTCGCGCGAGCTCGCCTATTATTGGTTTTTGCGATCATCGTGTGCACAGCGTCGTTATATACGGCCGATTTTCCTCGGCGCGGATGAGCTGTCGATCATATATACAATTCCGAATATTCAATGTCAGCTTTACGATGCACACGCGTAACTCCGACAGCCAGCCGTAGTACGTCGAAGGGCGAACATAATATATACGTAACTAATGTGTGCCTATATAGCGCGCGATGCGCTGCAACTCTTTTTCATACCGTACGTCAAGGGAGAGAGAGAGAGATCCTTACGTAATCTTGGCTGAAAGGAATATGCGCGAGAATGAGACGTGAAAAGCCCGCAGCGCAAAAATCCCGAGAGTGGTGGGATATATATCGAGGGAGAGAGATTGAGTCGAGAGATATACGTTGCCTAGCCCGGGCTTGCGAGTGAGGTATATATACGCGTCGAAAAAAAAGGGAAAATTTGCATGTACACGACGTGGTAGTAGGGCCGGCTCACGTTTTCTCCACAGTTTTTCACCTCGGGATATAAAAAAAAGGAAATAAAAAGTATCGAAAAAAAATTGCACGAAATTGAAAAAGTCGATCGGTCTTCCGCGTATAAGCGTGTGATGTATAATATACAAGCTAGGCTTCCATTCATATACATTATAGCCCTTTTGTAATTTGTTCAAAAGCTGAATAAGCAGCAGCTCGACTCTTTCGCGATTGATCAAAGCCGTGTGTGTATACGTTGTAAGGGACTATGCGGCCAGCAGCAGCACGATTACATGTACACGGTAGTGACGGACAAGGTCGATCGATCGGGTGGCAGTAGCAGCAGCAGCGAAGTTCGAGAACGTAATACACATATACAGGCGATATATAATATATATATAACAAAAGCTGAGATATCCGCGAATTCAGCGAAAATCCGTGCGTAGGAGTCATTGACGTCTTTCGCTGCCGCGCGCGATGTGTCATATAGATATATGGATGTGTATAGATATAATAATATAAAGAGCTTCCCCCCCGCCGATTCTCGTGTGTGCCAATACGAAGTGAATTACGTACGTTAGCGTTTGAAATAACGTACGTGTACCGCTTAGAGAGAGAGAGAGAGATCGAATTACCGCCGAGACAATTTTGCAAAACGTGTTAACGTTGTGTGTAAAAAAAAAAGAAAGAAGCAATAATACAATGTACACACGCAGTAGCGGACGAGCAATGATCTCGTTACAGTCGTACCACTACATTTATATGGCATTATTATTATATCAACGAAAATTTATCGGCGCGCGAGCCGTATTCGTCGCGCGATTATACGGCTCTCGCGCGCAAGCAACCAAGTCAAGTACTTACACTCGCTGATTGTATCTCTCGTAAATCATATTATACATTATGACGTACGAGCCGCGAGTCGTGTCATTGTATATCTGTTCTTTTTTTTTCTCGCTCTTTTTTTACTCTCTCTATCTCTCTTTTTTATCGTCGTTTATTACAAGGTATATATCCGCGCGGTTAAGCGTTAAGAGCTCGATAGCATCGAGCAGCAGATGAGAGAGAGAGAGAGAGAGAGAGAGATAATAACGACGCGTATAGCGAGTAATTTAGCGCGCGGCGCGCGAAATGCAAAAAGGAAGTCGATCGAGCTTATATAGAGCTTGCAGCCAAAAAAGAGTCGGATAGTCGAGTTTTTGGCGCTCGCGTATAATGTCACTCGCTCTCGATGCATATGATACATAGCTATAAGCTGCTGCTACTGCTGTGCAATGTACCGTACGCGCGTCACATCGTCGGTGTCATTACTATAAGCGGGCAACAAGTGCACCCAAGCAGCAGCAGACTTATGTTAGTATTACAACCGTATGTATACTTATATAGTGCGTGTGTGTCCCCCCACCCACCCGCGCAACGAGCAAACACGCAAATCGTTGATGTGTACGTCACGCGTAAATAAAGCTTAATTCACTCGCGCGCGGCTAAATAAATATACCAAAATCGTGTGTGCGCGTTGGCGACCTCGTTGCAGCGAGTGCAGTGTATATACTATATACCGGTGCCACGATATCGTTCGTTAGCCGCGCCGCGCGATTTCCATACGTAATTATTATAATTTTATTATATTACGATACGCGCGTGCAGCCTATATTATATAGGCGATTTAATCGCGGCGGCGGCCGAGGCGGTTATTTTTTTTTCTGCGTCGTCTCGTATACACGTGCCGCGCGACGACCGAGATCGTTTACGTCCGAGTGTGGTTTTTCTTCTTATAACCAAGCGCGCGGGAGATATATTAAAAACAACAACAACGGCGGCGGCAGCAGCACAATTTACACGTACTTAAAAGCGGAAGTGTGGAAGATTTTCGAATGATGAAATGTGTGTATAATATTTTATACGTGCAAGAAAAGGCGATTCGTATATAATATGCATTGCGCAACTCGTTTCCGCGTTCTCTCTCCCGTGAGTATGTGTGCGCGATCGATTTTCCGCCACTCGCGCGCGCCGTTTTCAAGACCAAAATATTATTTTAATCGGGCTCAGACACGAAATCTGTGCTCTCGCTTATTATTGCAGAGAGAGAGAGAGGGAAGAGATCGATTCTCGCTTTAAAGCTCGCTCAAAGAGAAAAAAACTCTCTGAGAATATAGCTCGAAAATTAATCGAGTTCAAACGCGCTTCTGTGGCTGCTGCTGCATGATCGTCGTGTACGCGTTAGAGTTTAGTCCATGTATAGGTATGATGATGTCTAGTGGGTTTTAACGTTTATCGTTATGATTAAATAATAAAATGTACCATTGGACATGCTTTAAAATACATCGCCGATGTGAGACTTTTTTTTACGACTAATTACGACAATGCTAATTAGAGCCTTCGCCGCTAGATGGCAAGTACCTTTATTTCAGTAAACCTGCGAGTGGGGAAGTCAAAATAATTGTATAAATCGAAGCTCGGTTATGGTGTATCAAGATGTCTTGTAAAAAGGTCCCTTCAGTGATCATGAAACTTATTTGTTAAGCAAAACCTAGCCACAAATTATCGAGCACTTCCATCGAGGGAATACGATCGAGTCTATACTGATTCACGACATCTCGCACGTAAGGCACGAGACACAAGTAATATAACGCCGAGGCATGAGATGCCACCGCTACCACCGCCGAAGAGTATGTAGGCAGGGAGAAAATCAATCGATAACGAAAGATAAGAGAGTCTCCCTCGTTCGAGTGTAGTAGTAGCAGCAGCAGCAGCTCCGGGATGTATTATAATCAGATTGGACGCGAATCTGGTTCAAGTTATTAATGGATGTAATGTCAATTAAAATAGATCACTTCGGCCTCCTCCCCCCCGCGCACACGCCCCTCGGCTCTCGGCTCTCACTTTTTCTCTCACCTTTTACCATTACCCCTACACGTACATACATATACATAGCCGAGTGATAATTACTGCGCAAGTATAATATATCTATATTCGCGGCCTACAAAGTGTCGAGCGCAGCTGATATTGCCTCTATACTACACATAGCGCGCGCGGCAGAGAGTCATTATAGAGTTATAAACGCGGTGACGTTAGAGCGCAAAAAAAAAAAAAAAGAACGCAATCTCCAAATGGCCCCGCCGTCGTACTTCTCAATTTTCCGCGCTACGCAGCAGAGCGTCCCCGATAATATAATTCGTTTATGCATAAAAGTTCATCGGAAAATGAGCGATGTGGCAAGGCGGAATCCGTTGCTCGACGCTCAGCTGTATATGAAAAGCTGCGATACAAAACAATACTTATATGTATAATGCGTCGGTGCAAGCTCGCGCGCCGACGAACGGAGATGAAAAAAAAAAAAGACGCGCAGCCTCCTATCTATCCCCTTTTTGCTCCTTGCGAGCTTGTCTCTGCAGCAGCACCGCATCCGTATCGTCGTAACAGCTCCACCGCGCGTGTACTTCACAATATCTTTCTCTCTCCACGACGAGTACCGTTCCGTGTCTCTATCTCCCTTCTGTGTCTCGCGCACACACCCCTATACACGACCAACTTCTTCTTCGTCTTTCTTTTTTTTCACTTTCCTTCCCCGCAGAGAGAGAGAGAGAGAGAGAGAGAGAGAGAGAGAGAGAGAGAGAGAGAGAGAGAGATAGCGAGAGACACCCCAAAGCTCTCTTGGCTCGCACGCGTTGTTGTTAGGGGGACGACGACGACGACACGCGTCGAGTCTCTTCGTCCATGCGCTTTTGTCTCGCACCGCGCCGTACATGAGAGCTGATACGTACGCTCAGCTGCTCGCTCATGTGCGCGTACATACAGACCCTCAGCTGTTGGCCGTACTTATGTGTGTGTGTTTACACGCACGTCCGCACGCAGAGGAGAGAATATATTTTTGTCTCGTCCTATACGCGAGCTTTCACCTGTGTGTGTGTGCACTTTGAGGGCGCAGATAAGCGAGTCCGTCTAGTCTCTTCTCTTTGTATAAGAAGAACGAAGCAAAAAACAAAAAAAACAACAACAACAACAACAACAAAAAAGTGGTACGCACGAGCTTACGAGATACAATGTATAATAATGACACATCGAAGCTCGTCTCGACTCAAGTCGCTCATTATTGCATTACGCGCAATTGCAAATTACGAGTCCAGCTTCTTGCTGCTGGCAGCTGGGGCTAAGCTTTTATATTTCCATTGTGTGCGCTAATGCGCACAGGCGCGGCGGCGTCGGCGGGCCTTGAATTTATTATCAACGCACGCAGAAAAACGTTCGCGCGTTATAAAAAGGCCAACTCGCGCGTGTTATATACTTATATATATATATCAGCTGCGCGTCATCGTGTTCCCTGTAAGAATTTCAATTTCGCATTTTATCCGGACGAAACGTGCAAAGTATGTCGCTAGCTCGCTCGCTCACGACTGCCTATCGTCTAATAACCTTCGACCGTTTTCTTATTCGAGCTATCTCTCTCTCTCTCTCTCTAGAGCCACACGTTCTCTCGTTACTTTATGGATGAGCGATAATTTTTTTTAGCGCCCCGAAAATCGTTTTTTTTTGGTTCAGCTCGAGAGAGAGAGAGAGAGAGAGAAAATTGCCTTCGCAGGTCACCGCTCGCAAGTGTCGGCAAAAAAATATCTGTAAAAAAGACCAATCGATAATTCCGCAGTTTCATTCGCATTATCTCTCGATTTGCTACATGAATTTGCAGTTGCAAACTCGGAGGTACGGAATAATATAATGCAAACTCGTATGTACGTACGTGCTCGCACACACATACGCGCACGAAGTAACGAGGCATTTAGCACCAGCTCGCTCGCTCGCTCCGCGCGTACTTAATTGATGCCGAGATAGAGAATGGAGAGCTTGCCTAGATATACTCCATACAGCAATAATATACGTTTCGAGCTCGTCGGGTTCGGCGCGTGTGAGAGAGAAACTATATGATATATATGTATCGACTGACCCTCGACGACGACGACGACGACGACAACGACGCACGCTTACATTCGAGAGCTCTGCGCGTTAGGCCTCGGTACTGGTATACATGTATCGTATATAGATAATACAAACTTCGAGCGTCATAACAATTCACGCACGTGTTATGTAGACCGAGAGAGAGAGAGAGAGAGATACTTACGCGTTTTAAAGCTTATACGACCACCACTACTACTACTATGTGTGTGCATTACGCAAGTGCCATTATTATGACTGCGAGTGGCATCTTTTTTTTCTTTCTTTCTTTAATCGCTTTCGAAGAAGAAGAATAAGCCCGAGATTTTTATTGTTACGGTGATACGCGTTCCTGCTGCAGGCCACGACCGTGACGACGATCTAATCGTCCGCGTAGTAGTAAATACGCGCGCGGCTTCGTCGAACTTTTCGTATTTTATATACCGTATATATATTTGATAGACGATAGAGATACCTTGAACGCGCATCACCGTGTGTTCCAATTCACCGCGCGGCCACACGACCAGAGTGGCTGGGATGTGTATACGTGTAATCGCGCGAGCGAGCTTAAAAGCCGAGCTTGCGTGTTTTTTTCTTCTCTTTTTCTTTTATATACTAGTTTGATATTTCTCGCTTTTGTCTGTGTTTACGTGCGTCTACCGTGAGCTCGCGCGCGCGTGCGAGCATCTGTCTTGTTTATCAAGCTCATCGTGTGCACAGCCCGCACATCGCAAGCTCCACGAGATGGTGGCCGCTGCTGCGACCACCGCGAGCTTTTTTCCCTTGCAGATTCAGGCGCGCGCGCACGGCTGAAAAAGTGGCATTTAACATTCTAAAAGGTAGTACGGTATCAAAGACTCTCTCTGTGTCTATGTAATAGGGCTCGAGGCAAGCCCACCTAGCTGCCTGCCTGCCTTCCCACTACGTTGCTTTACGTGACTGGCTTAGGGTAGAACTCCGTCGTCGTCGTCGTCGTCGTGCTTGAAAATTCTCGAGCAATTTGCAGCCTTTTTCTCGGTGTGTGTGTGTGTGTGTTTTAGTAGCGCGACGACATTTTTATAACGTATATATTTTGTACGACGTGGTTCTCTCTCCGTTGCAAAAAAATAAAACAACGAATAAATAAACGAGAATGAAAAATCGTCCGAGTTTGTGAGGAAGAATGATCGAGAATCGAGAGAGTTTATAATAAACAGCTGGACACAGAGAGTGTAGAGGACAGAGAGTCGCGCCTCGAACGCGACACTTTTCGAGCTCGTGACTAATGCGACGAAAATCCGCGTGCGACGACGACGAAACGAAGAAAAAAAAATGTTTTTTCTCTCTCTCTCTGGATCGTTTTATACACGCACAAAATTATTTTATCGTCCAAGTGCACGATAAATAATATGCGTTTTTATCGTCCTGGCCTCTCGTATGCCCAATGCGCAACGGTGTATAAGTGTATCTTTACTGTGCGCGCGTGTGCGTAGGCAGCAGATCGTGTTCTCCGCGCGTCCGAAAAGGGTCAACGCTCTCGTAATATGCATACTCGACGACGACGACGACGACGTTATGCTTATTATATAGCAGCAGCAGCAGCAGAAAAGTTGAAGAGACTCTCGATTCCTCGCGCAACGCTTGGGAAATTAGCGCCTGGCAGTTCCTATATATCGTGCGTATATAAGATCTTGAATATTTTGCCAACAAAGAGCCATTAGCTATACAAGTTTTAATGCGTATTATAATAATTAGTACATATATAAGCTCGGCACGAGCTGGCAATAACAAAAACTATATAATATAAGCGAGAAAGAGCAATGGACCTGGGTGAACTTGGCTTTGTTGTTTGGAAAATATATTATACCTTAAATTCGACTCGTCGCCGCGATAAACGAGTTCAATGCAGCGTTGCGCACTTGTATTATATACGTATTGTATTTATATACGCGAATCGCGTCGGAAAATCGATATGATATATAGAAACCGAGCCGAGAGGCACTGCAATAAAGCAAAGCAGCAAGAGAGAGAGAGAGAGAGAGAGAAACGAATCTCGTGCGCTTTATTCGCAAAGTTGCTTTATAACAAATGAAGAAAAAAAAAGTTGCGCGCAAAATTGTCTCATTCATATATAACCACCGACGCGAAAAAGCATCGGGGCAAAAAACAAAGTCTCTCTCTCTCTCTCTTCGCCGCCGTTGCCGCGCTCTCTCGTCCGCACTCGACGAGAGGAAAGCACAAGTAGTTTTCTGGCTGTACCTCGTTACTGCAGCTGCGCTAGGCCGTTTTCTTTCTCTCTCTTTTACTCCCTCCTTCTTTCTTTCTTTTCATTCTTTCAATTTTTTTTTCGCAACCTCGCTTTGATTTGGAAGTTTGCTGCTGCAGCAGTTACGTTAATAACTTGATTTCCCGTCAATACACAGACACATACACGCACACACAAAGCCTCGTGCGCAAACGAACTCGCAGTCGCGCCAAGTGCAAGTAATGAGTATACGACATCAAACGTCTCTCTCACCCGTTGACGCACGTACTTATATAGATACGATGTGCAAACTGCAAACCGCGATTATATCGCCAGATGTACGTGTGTGTATATATACAATTGCTAATGAAACGTGTGCGCTGTGCTTTACTTTACTTTGCAGCGGCAGCAGCAGCGGCAGCAAACTCACGCGCGCAAATAGATATAAATACCGATTTTTTCTGGATTATTTCCGCCTTTATTACATATCGCGGCCTCGCGAGTCGATCTGCGTCAAATGAGATTTACGCGCATTCCATAAAAACCGTGTGTGTCGTGTGTACACAAACAAATATTCCACTGTGTACGGTATACGCGAGCGTAAAGCGAGGCAAAAATTCTCCTATACATATCGCGATCGTGGATCCTTCTGCATCGAGATAGAGAGAGAGAGAGAGATGAGAATGAACCGAGCCTGACGACCCCCGTGCGCAAGTTGGTATATGCATAAGTCACACATAATAGGCACGCCGTTCGACTATCGCACGCCCGCCCCCTAACCTTATACAGTGCATTTTCGAGCGCGAGAGAGAAAAAAGCTCAGCGCGTGCAAGCTCTCGGTAGCAGCGAAAGTTCAGCGAGCCATTAGAGGCGAGAAAGGGGGAAGAGCGTAGAGCTCGTCGCGCGTGTCACTCTAAAAAGCTCCGCGCCTAAAAAGCTCGCGAATATATACGTAGCACAGAGCAGCAGCAGCACATGTATGTACACACAGAGATGTGTGTACTATATACAGTGGGCAAGTGGGCGCAGCAGCAGCAGAAGTCGCCGAGGCGAAAGGTTAAAAGTCATCGTACCTGCTCGATGGGAGCAACGACGTTATCTTGGCAGCAGCAGCAGCAGCAGCAGCAGCAACGCCTGCGGTAGTAGCAGTAGCAGCAGCAGAAGCAACGATGGTAGTCGACGTCGTCGTACGATCGATCCCCATCTGCTACTGCAGGCGCCGGCGCGCAAACTTTGTATTATTTCACGTACACGGCACTAGGTAGTAGTCGACGTGAGCTTTTCCGAATTGCGAAAAAGCTCCTTTCTCCTCTCTTTCTCTTATTATTCACTGTGCGGTGACACCGGAGAGTAGTGAACTCGATACTCTCGATCACTCGGACGTATGATAATAATAATAACAATAATAAAATGCGGTGCAGTCGTCGAGCTTACGAATGCTCTCAGCTGCTATATTACATCTATGTAGGCCCCTCTTCCGAGAGTGTATGCGTTTTCTCGGTACACTAATATCAAGCACTGACACACACACACACTCAAACACACAGACACACGCGGAGTGGGCTCTCCGCTCTGCCTCTCTGTTATTATTGCACGCGCAGCAGCACCGAGAGAGCTTGCACACTCTACTCCGACGAGCGACGAGAGAGCGACGCGAGCCCGACGCTGCTCCGATACCGACTGAACCGTCGTACGTACGCGCGAGGCGCTTAATAGCGCGCGCGAGGCGAGTGTGTGTATATAAGCGCGGAGCCGCCGACCGAGCGTCCGACCGTCGACTCGACGAGCAGCAGCAGCAGTAGCGGGCTATATATCACACACGCAGCAGCTCCGGCGAGCGCAGCCGTATTACGCTACATGTACTATATACGTTGTGTACGTATAGATACGCGCGCGCCACTTATAGGCACTCGCGCGTCCACCCAACCACCCACGCCGCGCTCCGCTATACGTATACGTATACTTATCACGTGTGTGTATGTATCTACGACTGCAGGCGCAGCTGCACGTCTACCTATGTATGTGTGTGGATGCAAGTTGAACTTTTGTGTGTGAGTGAGTTGTGCGAGCGCCTCTCGCGTCGACTCGAAAGCTCCTCTCTCTCTCGTTCTCTCCGCGGTATACGCTGTGTGGTATACGCTGTATATGCTCTGTGCAAGCTCGAAGGGGTCATCATCCACTCCTCGCGCTTACCGCAACTTACATGCCTCGTGCCAGTGCAGTAGATGCATATATATAATATATGAGTAAGGCTCCTGTGGAGAGCGGTGCGGCCGAACGATGTAAAAGTCATACTAATTCTGCCATGAAAAAATTTACACGTGTTTTTTTGAACAATTTTTAACCCTTTTTTTTCCTTGAAATTTTTTCATCAAGCCGATCCTAGTCCGGAAAAAGAATCACGAATATTTATAGTAAATTTGGTTAGTCCCTTCGGAAAAGAGCTAAACAGTGTCTTACGGAAAAAATGCAGCTGTCCTCGCAAATTTAGAACTTTTTTTGATGAAAGAAAATTTTTTCCGATTTTTTTTGCAAAAAAACTGTGGCAAAGAAGAATCAATATTACTTTCGTATCGTTTGGTCAGACCGTGCGCTGTATTCTAATTCGGATAAACAAAAAAAGGTTTCAAGCTCGCCCTTCAATTTTGAGCCTTTAAAATATTTCACAAAAAAATTATAGTAATTAAGCCGAAATTTTCCACTTATTTTCATAACTTTTTGCCTCGAAAGTCGATATGAGTGCGCAGGTGTACGTCTCTGGCTGAAAAGAAGTTTTTGAAATGAAATTCACATGGACAGCTATATTCTAGCATAAATTAATGATCAGATATTGCCATAAATGAATACATTTTAATCTATCAAGTGTTCAAACGAACTTTAATTATTGTTAAAATTTTCTCTATTGAAATTTTTTTTTATTACGATATGTTTTTGTCCCGAAATTTGAGCTATGAAATGTTCTTGTCTTGAACGTTCTTGACGTTGAATCTGGATTTCTTTTATTTTTTCGATTTGGGTTTTCTGGCTCTGGAGGATTATTCATAGAAATTTTTTCTATCAAGAATCCCTTACAAGCATTGAAATCCTGTCACAATAATTATGATAGTATGATTAAATCGTTCAAATGAAAAGTAAAATGTTAGATAGCGCAACCGCATAAAACGTTCATTTCCACAACAGTACAAAACGGGAATTTAGCGTATTTATAGAGTCTACCCTGTGTCAAAGCGAGCGGTGTTGATAATAGTTGTACACGGGCCGGCAAAGGCGAAGGCCGCTACTTTTACACGTCGATCCGTTACAGAGTCGAACGTTTTAATAGCGCGACTCGTGCACTTGAAATAACGAATATAAGAAAAAATTATTTACCAATTTTGGATAAAACGTAGAGAGAAAATATTGGAAGTCGGGAGATGGACATGGTGCATTAAATGATGCCGATGTTCCATTAATTAAGCAGCGTTTTCTCGTTCTTGTTACTCCAAACTGGGCTTTCCAATACGTATACAAATAGCCATACTCTTGATCCCTCCGCGATACAGATGAAATAATTTGCACCTCATGAGTGCTTGGGTTATTATTGTTTCCGCAATTTCGTGTACAACCACGTATTGTCGTTAAACATACTATTGCATCTTCTCCATCTGGTGTATTCATTGCATACATTAACATTGTTTTCAACTGAACATAATTCTCGAATACCGTTTTAGTAATATATTCTTTTCTTTCTCCAACTGGCTTCGATTCTTCTTGTGATAATTCAAAATATGCGTAACAGTGCGTACACATTCTCAGGTCAGTATTCGCATGATTACATTCTGACTCATGATCCTCATAGTGGAGATGAGCATGCCCACCAGTAGTTTTCGATCTTTCTACCAAATCCTCGGCATCATCTAAAGTAAAGCCTCCGGATATGCTACCTGCGCGAGTCAAATGCAACACAGAGCTTTCAAAGGCGAATATTGGTTGTAAGTAAGTAAAGTAAGAAGGGAGATATATCCTCAGGCTGATTTTTAATTCAGCGCGTATAACTCGGCTTACAGCGAGAGCACTGGAACTGATAGTCGCGGCCGCGCAGACGAGCGTGGTAGAGCTTGACGAGCATCCGCTGGGCGACTATCTGCCTGAGGATCGGGGCCGGATAGCCGGTCTGGTCCGAGACGCAGTCGAAGGCGCAGTTGTTGGGTCGGCGCTCGGCCTCGGGATTGCGGGGCTCGCTGCCGTCGAGCAGCGTAAAGTGCCCGAGACGACCGGAGGAGCCGCCGACTTTCTCGTGCACGAGGTCCAGTCGGGGCTGCAGCGGCTGACGACCCGAGTCGAACAGAATCACGCGATCGTCCGTCCACACGTCGATTTTGCGCCTCAGGAACTGGCTCATCTCCCTGATGTGGCCCGCGTTCGCCGGTCCGCGGAGTATCGACTGCACCGTTTCTCCCGGGATCGGTTTCATGATTTCCAGATCGGATTTTCGATGGATTTTTCTATTTTTTTTTCTTGCTTTTACGGCGCTTTTACCGATTTTTTTATTTTTTTTTGAAATTTTCAGGTATTTGTTGCTTTAATTACAGTTACTAAGAATTTTGAGCCGAAATTTTTACTTTTTTTTTTACTTTTCAAACTTTTTTTTGAGGATCGAAATTTTGACTTTACCAAACATAAGGGTTATGAGTGATAACCCACAATAACGTGAACATACTTGCTGTTGCTTACGCCAGTTTCTATATGAGAACAGCTGTTCTCGAGTTATCTTGAAAAATTCATTTTCGCCCGGAGGTTTCCCCCAGAGGTTCCGGTAAAAAGAAAATTTTAAATATTCTTTTTGAATTCCGTGTCGAATTTTAATAAATGTTGACAGTTCCATTTTTTCGATTGGAGCTTCCTAGCTCCTCAATCTAGAGCATCACAAAAATTATAGAAAAAATTCATTGGAGTAACATTATTTTTCAGATGTCTTTTTTACCATTTACTATAACATACCAGAAGCGCGTCTAGATCGGTGTGCGCACGATAATTTAAAAATTTCTGAGCCTTACATATGATGCGCACCGCGCGGACTGCCACTACTACCCGTACGACGAGCAGCTATGTGTGCGTGTGTATAAAACGATACACCTGTATCCCGCTGAAATCGCCTACTAAACAATTTCGGTGGTAAAGTCATGCCTAATCGTTAAAAATCTTGGGAGGGGGACAAAAAGCTATGGGACCCGATGGAGACAAAATTGCTGGCAACGTCGACGAACGTTGTTGTTTTTCCGTTTGAATGAGCGATCGAAAAGAGTAGCTCTGAAAGTATGCACTTTAGAGAAAATTACCGAGAGTAAATTGCTCGCAAGGTGTACGCACGAGATGCGGGTCACCGAATGTCCTGAAAATTCTTTTTAGGGCTATCGGCACGTAACGATGAAGTTTCCCGTTTAATTTTTTTAGTTAATTTAAACAAGTAGGTCCTAGAAGCGATTTTCGAGAATAACATTTATTTTAAGTAAAGTTGAATCGAATGAACGTGATTTTCCGGCTTGTATTGATTCACGAACGAAGATTTGTCGGAATTTCGTTTGGTATAGTTACAGATCGAGGCTCGATGTCATCAATAAATATTATCAATAAATAAGTATCCGTATTATTCGAACGAATAAATTCAAAAACATGACATTCTCTTTCATTCACTGATAAGCACACAATTATTTGAAATGAAAGATTTCAAATTGTGTACTCGTTCGAACATCAAAAACGTAAAAACATTACCACAAATTATCATTTAAAGCAATTTTAATGTCACTACGATAAAGTATCACGAAACGATATCGTGTATAAAGACGTCTGTGCCGGTATAGCTATAACTGTACTCCCCGAGCTAGGATACGTTACGAAGTGTGTGTACGACTGCACGCGTTAGCGGCAAAGTTGCCGAGTTGTGGCGACGGTGATGACGACGACGACGACGACGACGACGAAAGTCGAGCTTTATAAGAGAGTGAGAGAAGGAGTCCCAAGAGCTCCGGGGTACCTTGAGAGAGAGAGAGAGAGAGAGAAAAACTGGGTCGAGTACGGTGCAAGTCGTACCTCGAATGCATAATTTTGTTTTTATCGACGCGAGACTCCTTTGACACACAATCGTTTTTCTTTCACGACTCTTTGGGGCTGAGCGACGACGACGTCTTACGCGTTGCTTGCTGCGACTAAAAGAGTGGTATACATTGTGAATCATCTGTTTGTGCAACTGAAAATACAAGTGTCATCGATAACTGATTGATAATAGTCTATTCGGCTTGAAATCCGCGTTGTGGGGGCTTTCTATCCAGTGGATTTACTTGAATTAACCCACGACTTCGTCCTGAATCAATATCACGTCGAACTTGCATGTGTAAAATCGCGATCATTGAGGAATAGCCATTATTTCAATGGAGTATATATCAAAATGAATTTTTCAAAATAACTCGAGAGCAGCTGTTCTCATATAGAAACTGGCGTAAGCAACAGCAAGTATGTTCACGTTATTGTGGGTTATCACTCATAACCCTTATGTTTGGTAAAGTCAAAATTTCGATCCTCAAAAAAAAGTTTGAAAAGTAAAAAAAAAAGTAAAAATTTCGGCTCAAAATTCTTAGTAACTGTAATTAAAGCAACAAATACCTGAAAATTTCAAAAAAAAATAAAAAAATCGGTAAAAGCGCCGTAA